TTGTCCCCAACGTAATATCCCACAACGCGAAAATTCTGTTAAGATTGTTCGTGACGTTTGTGGAGCCACGACAATGAAGTGGAATCTCTTCAAATGTTCTATGAGTCTTCCATGAAGTGGAGAGTTATTAGTCCGAGGTCCTTAGATCTATGGAATGAATGGAATGCTCTCGGAGACGCTTTGACTAGTTTTAACATAGTACGATTTCATTATATTGACCGCTTCAAGAGAAAAAAAAAATTATCATGTCTCTCCATAACAAATTAAATAACACTATTCAAAATAAATAATGCAAGACTAAAAAAAAAAAAGATAATATCAACCAGGCTTGTCCCGGTCTGGTAATGCGTAACCTGCTATTTTAGGTAGTGCAGTGCTCAATTTCAGGTGCAATTAATCAACCTCTATGCGCGCCATGAATGTACAGTACATTGGACAAAATGTCTTGACAAGGATCAGATGTAGCACATGCTGAACTTGACAGGGTTGTCAAGGGGCTTATGCTTGTTTCATTTTCTTCCATGGGTGAGATACATAACATGCATATCTTCTACATCTAAGTATTCTTGTATTTACAGGCCACCCCCGTCCAACTTAGCCAAGTCCTTCTTATTCCCTGTCTCCATTTTGGGCTGCGTCACTGTGGCCCTAATAGGGACCAGGGTTATTGGGGGGATTATTTTTGTCGCTCGCTCGTGAAGCTTTGCGACACGGTTCAACATGGCTCGACAAATGTACCTCCCATACCTGGTCCGCACGGGTAATCTTACTGCGAGATTAATAGATTTTGATACTTGTTAACTAATGTACCTGAAGTCTGGCGGTGTACTTCGTAATGTCTTGTTGTACTATGGTACTAGTTAATTATTACAATAAGCCTTGGAATGGCTAGGTATCTCTCTCTCATCTAGCTAGAAGACGATAATTATACATAAGGCGGCCTGCTCCCATCTCCCCCAGATCTCTCATCCATCTCGAATTCATCTGACAGACCAACAAGATCATAACTGACACAGCTATATATCTATATACCTGAACAACTACATCTAAAAGCTCATCTTACATATTTTGACGCTTGCGCCTCAGCTACTAGCTACCTTAACTCATTTATAAGTTATCTTATAAACAACCCCTATATATCAAAATGGCCGGCATGACCCCCGAATTCGATATGTCCTCGCAGCGACCTTCTCAGCTCCCGCCTTGCCCGGGTCCCCCGCCCAGCCGACCTCTGCCTCCTCTGCCGAAGAGTGGCTAAGCTGGGGGCCCATTAGTGAATTATTTGCACTCGAGTCCTCCAGACTCGCCGATAAGTGCCGGCCGTCGACAACCACATATCGACGAAGAGGACACAGAAAGCCTCGATAGAAGCAACAGTTAAGGATAGAATCGAGGCGACCAGAATAACATAGGCAATCGTCATTGGACGATGTGCCATCGGGGAGGAATTCTTAGGGTTCCGCTCACTTCCATTCTACCCTTTTCCAGCTCTCGACTTTCATCATACAAAGGTGCATTCGGGTATGCAAGTGATTGCAAGCGGAGCGTTGCATTTTTATGCGCGCCTCAAAAATTCGCTCCTGCTTTCCGCACCCCTGGCACTGCTACGACATCGTTCGTTCGCGGACACATGCACGAACCCTGCATCGACATTTAATGAGCGGCGGAATGCAGAATGCAGAATCATCCATGCCACCATGAAGCCGCCAACGTACCATATTATCGAATACGCATCGCGATCTTCCTAATTCTGCATTCCGCTCGTAACACCTGCTCCGCACATCTCCAGAGCTGGGCTCAATGGGATCAACTCCGTTATACATTCACTCAACATCGCCCCGGGGGTTGATCTGTACTATTTTCATGGGGCATAACAAACTTTTAATAATATCGGTCCTTTCATCGGCCGTAACGCATTGGATGGAAAGTTATATCAATCATTTCTGATTGGGAATAACGGGATCATATTAGTGATCATGGGGTGTTTTGGTATTTCGCATCGTTTATGTTGTCAACTGTACTTATAGAGATAGCATCGTCGAGGCATCTTCTGCAAAGAATGGCCTCGCGTGCGTTGGATACCCTCGCGGGAGAATGACGGCAGACTTTCACGATACGGGCATGGATTTGGGAGGGTTGGTGAACGGAATTTACCATGAATGATACCGGGGAGATTTGCGCTGAAGCAATCTGGCCCATTGGAATGATATGAAGACTATTTTCACTCATACTTGCAATGCATTTTGACTAGTCAAATTATAATGAAGCTGTCTTCGCGGCAGTTATTTTCAAATAAGCTACATTTTCTCCAATTATTGCTCTAAAGTGCTTGATCCAGTCTTATCCCCCCGGCTTCGGTTATGATTTCGGTCATGAACTTCATGCATTGATTTCCTATTTTGGGTAATTTTATAATTCTATAAGTGGGCCGACACGCTTGCACACTTGACATTGACATGCCTAACCGATGCGAGTCATTGTTTTTCTATCGCGGCGGCGGGACGTAAGGGCCATACAAAGTCGGTGAATCAGAGCTAGTCGATTCACCATCTAGGATTTAAAAATGCGAAGACTCCAACCAAATATTCGGGTCTAGACACCTACGGCACGCGCGCGGCCCGCTAGGGAGAAGAAGAGGGGCTATTCGCAATCCGTCGGATATCTATCCCTTGCATCATTGTCTCAAAAACGGTCACCATGATTTGATCATCTTAATAACCACAGTAGGAAATTGAGTTTATGCCATTTCCTTAGATCTCCGGGATCTGAGCTTGATGCAAGAAGCTCAAATTGCCGGCTAGACTAAGCGTTAGACCATCCGTATGCTAGATACCGCTGTATGACTATGGAAGCATATTACTATGTTTGGTATCTATGATGATTCGGTGAACCAACGTGGCGGGTATGTACATGACTTGAGTATGTCAAGACCAGCTCGTCATTCACTACACCGTTCAGACGGCTACATTATTATTAGGTGGGTGGGTATTGAGCTTCATGTACGCATGACTCGTGACAATATCACATCTCCAAGTTACTAACCACCAAAAGCGGTCAGCAGCACGTTAGACTTACATATTGACAACGTATTTAGACTACTATCGACTACCCTGCGTTGCCTCAGGTGGAACAAAAGCGCTATATCAGTAGTAAATGCTAGGCATTAGGCGGCATTGCATAGAAGTAGTAGGGATCCATTATAGGAATGAATACTAATCAATCCCTTAATCCTTAGCTTAGCCTCTGTATACTGCAGATATCAAACCCGAACCAGCGGCTAGCTACATGATGTAGCTAAATAGGTAATATACAAGCTGCACTCCAAGGAACGGATACACCATATCCGTCACGAAGACGGAACGCAGCGCCGCGGCGGGTGAGCGGAGTGGGGCGGAATCTTTACAAGCCCGCCCATTTTTGGCTTACATGGTTCTCTTAGTTATACTTAAATGGTGTCTTATACCCAAGTTTCCAAGGCATCTAACCTAGGGTTATGCAAAGCAACCAAGAAATCACATAAGACTTAAAGCAACCAATATTAAGAAACACTTATCAATTTAGAGACATACAGTAACAGACCGCGTGACTCAATCCTGCAAGAAATCGTCGACGCAAGTGATTTTCATTACGAATAGGTCAATCCTTAATGATAGTCCGATGCCATGTCTCTCATAGGCGTGGTTGGCTTTTCTTTCCTTTTCTCCTTTTCCCCCCACGGATCGTCATGATGGGGGAATAAGGTACTTGTACATACATACCTAACCCTAACATATCTTAGCCTAGCCCAGACGGGATTGACTTGAGCCGATAGACAGTTTCAATCTATGTATGGTGTTTATCATCTTATCACTTGTTCCAAGTTAAACACAAGTTAATATCAAGGCAGAGGTTTTTTAGTAATTCGGGGAGGCGGACACAAGCGACGAGGCTAACTCGATGATCTCTTCCCGTCGGCTCTTCGTAAGACCTAATGTAAGTGGATTGGCGGTATATCGGCTTTGCACTTACTATTTCAAAACTTCACACCAATGCGCGTCCGGCAACGCGTCTACTTCTGGTTAGTGTAACTTCTAAGATTAATGTTTCGTTTTCATTTTTTCCATCTGTTCTTCTTTTCTTCTTTTCTTCTACTTCCACTTCTACTTCTTTTTGCCACCCCCTGGATCATCAGGGGGAGGCGAAAAAAGATACTTTTAAATATTAAAGTAACAACGGCGTTAGAAATTCTGTCAAGTTAAATGAAAGAGCTGGGTATTTTACCGGGAATAGCCTCGTCTAGCCTCGAGCTTGTACGATACATCGTACATGTATCGTCACATGTATCGTGGTACACTACGGGCACTTACAGAAAATGGAAATGACCGGCCGATAGCAGTTCGTCTTCGGCCGTTCGAATTGTAATAATGACGTCAATGAAATATTGTAGGGATTCTTCGCGCTTATCAACACGTGCAGCAACTGCAACTAGACCCTGAAACGGAGCGATAACCAAATCTGGGGGATGATTTTCAAAAATGTTCCCAACACCACGAGTTTTACAGGTTTAGAATCAACTAAGGAATTAATAAGGGACGATCGACTGCAGTTCCAGCTCTAATGGGATAACGAAATCTTCATATCACGTTCATAGATCAAGTTTGTTCTTGAGATACGGTTCGCAACCCGATAATCCGTGCACATATACGAAGTCCGGGGTCTGGGGGGGTTGCCTCTCGTGCCAGACGCTTTCGTTTACTGGATCTTCGGTTACGATTTTAGTAATTTTCGAAGCCGAACTAACTATAATTATTATTTTGTTATTTTATTACTTGATCAATTATCACTTGGTCACTACAACTGCATATTGAAGCTCATATCACACTATTCGACCCTTTCTATTGGATGGTTGGGCGTTGGGCATTGTTACTGGCTCCTCTCCACCAACCTGCCAACCCAAGCTGAATCCTAGCCGCTCTCTCTTTTTCAGCCTTGGATACGACCGACGTCCTAAAAGTTCCTAAATGGCCCTTGAACTTCATGTTTGGGGTTCAGCATTCGGGCTTGATTCTATCGATCCCGAATGTCTAGCCGCCGTTACATGCTTCCGTAGCTGCATTCCCCGCCAAGATTGGACCCTGATCGCCAGCAATGACGCTGCGGTCAGCTCAGATTGTACGGCCCCATCTTGATCCTCCCCTAATTAAACAAATCTCATGATATCCACCTCAAACATCTCTTCGTCTAGTCACCGAGGATTGGCAGCTGATCAAACACAATTGATAGACCGCCTCCCCGCCTTGAATCACAAAGGTAGTTGGACTTCTGGATATTCGGATATCGTTTCGTATCTTGCTAAACACGGGATTTTCCATTTTGACAATGACCTCACACCGCTGCAGAGGGCTGATTCCCTCGCCTGCGCCTCTTTTCTAGCGACTCGCGGGTCTGGTCTGCTTGCCATGTCGCTTTATGTCTCGCCTAGGGCATGGGTTGAGATGACTCGACCTGCCTATTCATCCCTGCTTCCATTTCCGCTCACGTGGACTATCCCTCCAGCTGTCCGTGCCGCTGCTGTTGAGAGGGCTGAACATCTTGGCATTGGCTACCTCGCGGCTGAAGTAGATACAGAGGAATCCTCATCTGGTGGTCCAGCTGAAACAACGTCAACTGGGTTTCTCCGACTTCGAGATCGTCTTGGTCCCCGTAAAACTATGCAACCTGAGCACACGGCTGCTATCCGATTCCAGCATTTCGCAGAGGACTTTTATTCCGTCTTAGATGAACTTCGTGGAGACAAGAGCTTCTTCCTGCGGGATGACAAGCCGTCATCCATCGATTTCTTAGCCTATGGATACCTCGAGTTAATGCGCGTGCAAACGCCGCATCCCATTCTTAAAAATGCGCTAGAAAAATCCTATAGTCGCTTAGTCGTATTCGTGACAGAGCTACGTTCCTATGGAAACTATCAGGAATTGCCGTGGAGGGAGCCCAAGGCGAGGGGTGCGTTGGGTCTGATTGGTCGCTTTGCTGAAGGATCAGTCGAAGCCATCCCAGGCGTCGGGGACAGTTGGCGAAAGTGGCACAAAGACAGCGTCGATACCCGGGACAGCGATGACGTGAGAGATCCTACTCAGCTGATATTCGCCGCCGGGGGAGCTGTCACGAGCGTGGCCGCGCTAGGCTTTATGGCGCTCTTTCGCGCGTTGTCACCCTTCGGTGCCAATACGCATCGTTTCGAAGCAGTAAAGGAAAAGAAAGCCGGACTACACCAATTTGGCGAGATAGGTTCGATATTAGACGGGTTACCTATATGAGAACAGCCCAAGAGTTTTCCGTCTAGACGCGATACCATATACGGAAGGACTAACATGGATGTGACTGTCGCCATTGACTCTGAGCCCGGCGCATCCCCAAGGAGGGATATGTATTCCGTGGCCGAGTCTGACTTTGAGCTCCACGACCAGTCGAAGTGAACCATGCTTGCGTAACTACACAATTGCGGGACACTTATGATGTGAACTCATGTGTAATGACTGGAGGTTAGCCTGGATTTGTTCGGCGTTTAGGCATTAGATACCACTAGGTTGAGAGAATTTACGGCTAAGGGCTGTTTCTATGTGTTAAGGTGAACTGTGCCCTCTCGTTTAAAAGAAATTACGCTTGCTCCTATACGAAACCCACATCATGTTAAATCTAATAGCATAGGTACCTAAGTAAGCATACATCTCATGTTATAACCATATGTCGTTCTTATGCGCGAGTAATCCTTGATGGATGAGGCTCTGCTGCTTGCCCGTCTTCGTGAATCTGATTTTCTTATACGCACTGCGAACTTAGTAAGATAGATGGAGAAGTTCCGTAGGAGCGCTAAATCGAAGCGCCGCTCTTACACGACTCCTATTTTTATAGAATGCACAGACGCGTGAAGGTAGGTATGTACTTTTGTGTAAATAGGTACCTAAGGTATGTCAGACGCAGATGCGGATTCCTTAATAGGCTTCTAGAAGATCTTGGCTGGCAGCGAAGTACTGTACTTTTGCTGGTGATTACGCACTTGTTTGGTGTTTGCATAACTCGGGAGATCATGTTATTATTCTAGAAGCTTTGGTGTGGTATCTGTCCCTTCTCATCACGTGTAGACGTGGACGTTGGCTCCTATTCGCAATGCCTGATATGTACCTAAGCTTGATCTTCGGTATCATACGAAGCTCTTGGTGCGTGTCCTTAAATACTGAGAAGTAGTTAGAAAGCTAGCTATTGCATAATAACGACTTAGTATAGACTTCTTAGGGGACAGTGTTTGTGGCTTTAGATTGCTAGACTTGAAGTAGTCTATATGTATTAGGTGTCAACTGATGAAGTAGAAATTTTGGCTTAGCGAGTTAGTCTTAGAACATTTTTCTTGTCTTTGAATGAGAGTCATTGCTCACAAGAATATCATATTCTCTCTTATTTGTGACAGTGACTATTATATTGTAACTATTTTTAGTTAATTTTCTACTACTCTCCTCTCTACTCTCTTATACATATAGAAATACAGTGGATGAGGTGAATAATACAAAATCGAGTTGTTCTGGGAACCAACTACTTTGATAATGATCCCCCTTCACTTTGTTAACCGTTGGCTACTATTCGGTTTGAAATCTGTTCAAGATTGTAGATCTACCTATACTTAACTTAGGTAGTTATGGATGTCGAATACCTTGGGTATAATCGCTAAAGCAAATGAGATTCGAGGCGGAGGATAGTTGAAGGGTAACAGGTAGTTACTTGGTTGAACTGATGCAACACTTCTTTCTAACAATGCATAATTTACAACGCCAGAGTTAAAGGGCTTATCCATCTGGTGTTAGTAGAAATGCAATTTTGTAATTAGTATGGTTCAAAGTGAATGGATATAATACCTGACAAAATTTATTGTATTCATATGATATTCATACTAAAGTTCTAGTCCCCCTTATGGTTCTCGAATATGGTCTATACTGAGTATCTTTCTAGTAATCACACTACGCCGATATTAGACTAGCAACACCGACAAGGCTACTAAACTTGTCGGATTTCTTTCCCAACCATCTCGGGCCGTTCTATCTCCCACTCATCCCGGAGTACTGCAAATGTCAAGTCGCTGACCAGCAGACTCTGGCCCAGGCTCCAAACTAGAGTAATAGCGTAGAAGAAGTTTGCGTTTCCACTACCAGCATAGATCCATAGGTAATAGAAGGAAGGGCCTAAGAATGAAGAATAGAGTATGGTTGAGGCTGCTAAGAAACTGTATCGTAGAAGCGGAAATACATGCCTGAACAGCGGCACCATGGCAAGGAATAAACTCGTATCCGCAATATTGGGATATGGCTTGAATATGGCGAATATTCCGAGGAGTATAGTTAGCACGGCGAGTGGTTGCGATCGGATGCGAATCGATAGTCCCCCCACGTAACATGATAGGTGCAACCAGAATACGCCAAGGAAGAAGGCGCGAAAGCTGTCGAACATCTCAATAAAGAAGTACCACCACAGTCCAACGTTTGGTGTTAGGTCAGTCAGCGTCAATTGGATCCCGTAGGTCGAAGCAAGGAATTCCCAGGACCCGGTCAGGAGATAGGAGCCGAAGAGTAGGACCGAGAGACACAGACTAATAGCTGCTACATTGATGCCGGCGAATTGTAACAGCGACGAGGTCTTTCTTGAGGCATGCTGCCGGTCGTATGCCAAGAGTATTAACGGAGGGAGGAGTAAGATAGGATACATGGAGAGGTAAGTAGCGAAAGAGAGAGCTAGCATAGAGGTAAAGGGGTTGCCAGCTATTGCTTTTACAATCGCATGTAGTATGGCGCATGTGGTAAAGACATTGGTAGGCCGACCCATGCATGTCGCGATTGTGAATGGGTTAAAGAGGAAGCTATACGGAGTTCGTATTAGTCAAGACTCATATAATACTTAATAGTTGCAGTATAATGACATACATGGCCGCAACGATATAACCACTCCATCTCCTTTCCTTACGGGCCGAGGTAAAAAGTTTCGATGCGCTGGCTTCTCCCGACTCAGCGATCTTGTAAAGCGCATCTGCGCTAAGTAGGTCGACTATAATGTAGAGGATATATGCGAATATGGGATACGTTGAAGGGTCTGGGAGCAGAGAGAAGAGCGGGAGAAGCAGTGGTGCTTGGTGGTAGACGCCGCCATCGTACGGCGAGACATTATGATTATAGAGGAATAGGCCCTCTTGTACTGTAGAGACGGTAAGCTTATGAACCAGTATCTTCGGGGAGAAATAACAATGAGTGAATCCATCTTACGTCGCTTGAAGCTTGTTACGGGAGTCGAGATCTCGACGCGGGCTGTCAGCAAATCGGGAAGTCCAGGAAAGAAAGCGAATAGTGTTAGTCGTAGCAGAGCAGCGGCGGTATATAGACCGGCTGTCTCTTGGAAATGCATTTTATCGCGTTTCATAATGCAATGCCATCGTCGACGATGGTTTAGTTGTTATTACGGATCCACACTTAAAGTTGAACTTAGAGAGTTGGACTCAAAGTTGGACTCGAGAATCCAGGATTACTAAGTTGAATGAATGTTGCTGCTTAATTGTTCGTAATTGTCAAAATTTGGAGTCACGACCTCTCAACCTATCCCGTGTCTTTCTTGGCTCTTTCCAGCTGGACGTATTTCAGGGCAAGGACAGGGATCTGTTTGCTTTTGAGGAATTGCATTGGTGGCAGCTATCATTATCGATAACATATACTAGACCAACTTAGGATTAGCCTCGGACCCCAGAAAGCGGTCAGGAACGGCAATTCTAATCTTCAGAGCTAGCAAAAGAAAAAAAGTTGCGCCCCGCCGAACTTTTTTCTAATCCAATTCGCCTATAAGTCGATACATATCTGGGTGTTCGACTACTCAATTACTTTGAAAAAAGGACACAAAACAAGACCACTAATCAAATCCAAATCGCCAAGATGGGAAGGATAAAGAAGAAGGGTGAGGCAGGAAATGCTAAAAACTATATCACGAGAACACAAGCTGTGAAGAAGCTCCAGATCAGTCTTCCGGATTTTCGAAAGCTATGCATTTGGAAAGGGTAAGGCAACTCCTATACCAATTGAGCAATGAGGACTCACATGGTCGAATATCTACTAACTTAGATTTCAGAATATTCCCCCGAGAACCGAGAAATAGGAAGAAGGCTTCCAAAAGTTCGACGGCTTCCACCACCTTCTACTATGCTAAGGACATCCAATACCTTTTGCACGAACCTTTACTACAGAAGTTTAGAGAGCAGAAAGTGCTTGAGAAGAAGATCTCAAGGGCGCTTGGCCGTGGCGATGTCAACGATGCAGGCCGACTCGAGCGCAATGCTTCAAGGCCTGAGAAGACAGGCAAACCGCGATATACTCTCGACCATGTCATCCGAGAACGATACCCGACTTTCGTTGATGCGGTACGCGACCTTGACGACTGTCTCTCTATGTTATTCCTTTTTGCGAACCTCCCATCTACATCCACAGTTCCGGCTAAGATGATCGCGCGTTGTGAACGACTTTGCCTAGAATTTGAACATTACTTGATCGTATCGCAGAGCTTGCGCAAGTCTTTCTTATCGATCAAGGGTATTTACTATCAGGCGAATATCCAAGGCGAGGATGTCCTATGGCTTGTGCCGTACAAGTTCAACCAGAGAGTTGTAGGAGATGTCGATTTCAGGATCATGGGCACTTTTATCGAATTTTACATGACCCTCTTAGGTTTTGTCAACTTCCGGTTATACACTTCAGTTGGCTTGAAATACCCGCCCAAGTTTGACCAGACCAAAGATGATGCAGCTGGTGAACTTGGCGCTTTCCAGCTCGAAGGAAATCTTGCAACAGCCGTATCAAACGAAGCTCCGGCGCAGCTGACGAACGGTGACGCAGAGACCGGACCGGACCCTAAGACCCAGGCCGAAGTAAACAAGCTTATTAAAGAAATGCGACAAGTAGACGTCGATGGAGATCGAGTTGAGATTGACGCTGATAAAGATGAGGCTATGGCAAATGCGATTGACAAGTTCGAGCCAGCCGCACCGGGAGGTGATATTCTACCCCAGCCAAGCCACTCAGGAAGCGAACCCGAGTCGCTTTTTGCGAACTGTACGTTCTACTTATCTCGAGAAACACCAAGACAGTCTCTGGAACTCATACTTCGTGCGTTTGGTTGCAAGCGTGTTGGCTGGGATGCCGTCCTGGGCGAGGGCGCATACACAACCAACGAACGGGACCCATCTATCACACATCAAATAGTCGACCGTCCAGTCATACAAGCTGTTACGGAAGAGGATGGCGATGGCGAGGACAACCAGACGGCACAGAAGCTTGCATCAAACCAAAGGATGCCTGGCCGAATTTACGTCCAACCACAATGGGTTTGGGATAGTATCAACGATGGGGAATTGAAACGACCAGACCTCTACGCCCCCGGAGCTCAATTACCACCTCATTTGAGTCCATTTGTACAGAATACTCAAGGAGCTTATGATCCGACAATACCGCTAGAAGAGCAACAGACCGAAGGCGAGGCATTGGAGGATAGCGAGGAAGAGATAGATGAAGATGAAGATGAGGAAGTAGATGCTGAAGAAAATGATGGTAGCCTTGCGGTTAAGAAAATACAAAGCGCGGCTGATAGCATGGATATTGCTCAATCAGATGATGAGGAGGATGAAGATGGTGATAAGGAATCTTTTGGTGGATTCTCGGACGAGGAGAAGGCAGCGAATGAGTCAGAAGACGATGAGCAAGCTGCCGAATTGCAGTACCAGCGGGAGCTCGAAGCTGAATTAACGGGCAAGCCGATCAAACAAACCCCTGCAAACGCTCAGTCTAAGGCTAAGGTGGAAGCGAGAAAGCGACTTGCGAAGCAAGCCAAGGAAGAGGCGGAAGAGCTCGAGAGGGCGAAGGGAATGCTTAGCAAGAAGAAGAGAAAGCTGTTTGAGCAAATGCAGTACACTAACAATAAGAAGAGCGCAGAAGACCAAAAGCTTAGGGAGAAAAGGAGAAAACTGGAAAAGCAGAAGGCAAAGGAAAAGGCGTAGATGTTTATATAGTGGTACATCGGGTAGCTGTTTTGATAATACCACCGCAAATATTTTTTGCGGAATGACTATGATTGCACCTATATTAAATGTGACTATTGAAATAAATATTTTACCGGGAATAGTATCATGGTCCTATGTATGTTGGATTTTGTGGTTCTAGTTGATTGGAAAATTTTATGTTTTCAATTGGTAAATGTTATTGTGATTAAAACTATCCAAAATCAACGTAATTAACATAATCAACATATTTAACTATGACCTAGTCTCACGGTCGATTAACACGTCGATACCTGTTTCTCATTACAGCTTAATTAAATCTAGTATAAGAAGACAAACACAAGCAACATGGCATCAGCTGCGGACGAGTCGGATGAATATTTACAAGGCGACGACTCTGATGATTTTTCAGATGAGGATGTGCGGGCTAATAGGTGGCACGGTCCTAAGTCCACATGGCAGCGATTCAACCACGAGGAAATAGATACGTTAACAGCGCTGAAGGAGATTCGCGATAGGGACTTATCAGTTCATTTATACAATGCATTTGCACTTAAGCAAGGGCATAAGAAAGCGCAAGATGGACCAGTACCTAATAAAGTGTGTTCACTTAACTATCTATCAAACGAGCGACTGAACGCGTGCTAACTTAAAAAAAAACCAAGGATATCAATGAGGCGACAGGGCAGCTAGTTCAATCCGACGACTGGTTGCCGCAACGAACATGGACGGCTTGGCCTATGCGTGCGGATAAAGTCCCACCATTGCAGGACAGCGTCAGGAGTTTATTGAATGGTCAAGATGAGAGATTCACATTGAGAAAGGCAGTTCGTGATATGCCGAGCACGGCCCTAGAGGAGATCATCGGTGCCGAGATCTTAAAGACTGCCAAAGACAAATTCAACGCTAGGACCTGGGTCAAGCCGGATGTGTCTGATGAAGAAATAGATTCAGAATTAGAGGAAGATATTAACGATGAGGATTCAGGCGGAGAGACGGAGGCTTCTACATCGTCTAGACGTAAAAAGTCCAGGTCCAGGTCCAAGTCTGCCAAACTCGAGCCCATAAGTGGGGATGAAAAGATGGACGTTGACGAGCGCAAACCTGAAATAGATCTTCCCAGCAAGCCGGATAAGAAACCGAGATTGAGACCGATAGTCTCGACAGATGACGATCTATCTTATAGTCTCTTGCGCCCATCCGTCCGGCATATCCTCACCAAGCTAGACGCGACACTCACTATTCTCCATAATACACAAGAATCGGCTATAAGTTACCAGTCTGACTCAGCGGACTCAGAAGCATCAGATATCTCGCATCCTAGTAGCCGAAAGCCACCATCTAGACAGGGCTCGCAAATCCCAACTGATGGGAAAAAGCGCCAAGGCAGGCCACCTGGATCTTTATCTCAGAATCGATCTCGCAGACGGTCAAAAGTGAGGGAGATGACAGTATCACCGGCGGAAGAGCCATCTCAGAATAAAGAAGAAGGAAAACGTATGAGGAAGAAGGGTAGACCGAAGAAAGTATATCCTCGCCTCGAGGGCGAGACCGACCGAGAGTATACCATCCGCATCGCAAGATTACAGAAAAAACCCATCCCTATATTTTCTGACGACTCCGACCCAAAGGTCAATTCTGATGCAGAAGACCCAGCGGGAGACAGCGGCAACTCCGGCGATGGGGAAGAGACCACCGCCGAGACGGGCCGCGGGAGACTAGCACGACGGAAGAGAAAGACAAATAAAGATACCCGGTCTCCTTCCCAGGCCTCATCTGCTTCCGGAGGCAAAACCCGTAATAGTCAAAGATCCGGACATTCGAGAACCCGTCTCGGCCTCCGAGACTGGAGAGATGTTCTCGGCGCCGCGGCACTAGCCGGGTTCCCATCAGACGCAGTTGACCGCGCAGCAAGACGCTGCGCCGACCTCTTCGGACAAAGCATGACGCTGCATACCCTCGCTGAGGGCCCCGCCGTCTCATCATCCGGTCGGAAAGCTCCCCTGGGCAGGGTAACTACGTATGTTCCGGGAATGCCGCAGCCTCCCTTGCTAGAAGAAGACGAGGAAGAAGGAGACGAACAACAGCGTGCCCGTTCTATGAGCATGGATCCGAGAACAATATCCGAAGACGAAGCAGCTGGCCCGTCTCGGCGGCGCGCACGCGGCCGCTCGCGATCGCGATCGCGGTCTCAGTCCCGGTCTGCGTCCGCGGCGCCGGGGTACTTCACGTGTTTGTTCTCGGACTGTCCGCGGGCTGCGGAAGGGGAAGGGTTCCTACGCCGGTATAATATGTTGCGGCACATGAAGCTGGTGCATGGGTACACGCCGTCGGAAGGGGGGAGCGGAGACGAGGCTACGGGGACAGCGATGGGAGCAGGGATGCGGGAGGAGGTGGATAGCGAGGACGAGATGCATGGTGCTGTGCATGTCGATTGGTTCCTGCGCCCGGTGAAGATTCGTCGGGGATGGAGGGCGAATGATGTTAGTGAGGAGTCTAGAACTAGGAGGAGCGGGCATGGGTATGGGTATACGCGGGGACGAGGGAGGAGTCGGGGGAGAGATAGAGAGGGGAAGACTGGTGGTGAGGATGAAGATAGGGATACGAAGATGGGTGGGAGGAGTGATTGAGCACTTAATATTATGGTATTAAGGGAGATAATGTCTTATTTGGTCATAAGAAATAAGTTATACACTTTGGCGTCACTATCACCGTAGTTCTTACACGGAGGGTCTTTATTTCTGTATTTCTCTTCATCTACAACCTACCCCATTACCCCTATCTATGCAATCCCCTATCCATCACGACTTCTCCTTCGCAGCAAACTGCCTCTCAACCTCGTCCGCAAAATCCCCCAAAGTATCAAACCGCCATCCAAACGCCACCTTATCCTTCAATTCCGTATAACTGCCCCCCACCCCCTGCGCGTCCTCGCGCTCCCCACCCCTCGATATCCACACGCTCGGTAGCCCCAGCTCCTTCGCCGGCACATGATCCGCCGTCAAGCTGCGCGCGACATGCAGCAGCTCGCCCGCGTCCCTGTCGACGCCGAGATCCGCGCGCAGGTGGCTAAACAGATACTCGAAGTTCTTGTGCGACGGCTTGTACGACCCGATGTCCTGCGCCGTGTAGACGGCGTCGAAGCGCGCGGGCGCCAACCGCTGGTCGACGGTCGCGGCGATGTTGTTGTTGTCGACGTTGGACAGGATGGCGAGCTTGTAGCGCTTCTGCAGCTTCAGCAGCCCGGGGATGGTGTCGGCGAACGGCGCCCACGACCCGGGCGAGTTGCCGAAGGGCTCGGCGATGCTGTCGGGCAGCCCGGGGAGCTGCAGCTCGTCGCGCGCGAAGGCGGTGATGGATTGGGCGAGGATCTCGTTGTATGGAAATGTGGGGTGCTTGTGCTCGTAGACGTTGGTGATGGCGTTGAGGCGCCGTATGGCTTCTGTTGGTGGGTCGGTGTTTAAGGGGTGTGTGGGCGCGAGCTGCGAGGTTAGGATCCGGACGGTGCTTATGAAGCCGGTTTCCCAGTCGATGAGTGTGCCGTAGCAGTCGAAGCTGGGGGAGTTTAGTATATTATTGACATGTAGATATTGGTTGAAGGAGGAGCTTGTTCACCTTAGAGCTTTGAAGTTTGTTAGGTCGGGATATTTACTTTCGGACGCCATCCTTTCTTAAGTCAAGTCAAGTATATTAAGAGATGGATTGGAACTAGATAGATATTTCAATTGATATGTAGATGTTTTAGAGATAGTTTAACAGGTATCTATTCGTATATAAATTCCTTTTGAAGCCCAAAAATTCATTCATAGATTCCTCATCCCCTTGAAGGTTTTGCTGGCGTCACTCACGCCTTTATGTACGAGATATTACATCACATACCTTGATTGTGCAGGCCCCTCACAGCTGTCTCCAAAAATCCCCAGCTCTATATGCACGATGCTCTATAAAGTGCGGAGGAGCAGCAAATCATCGCGCTAGCTCTTGATGTACAATAGCTAATTGCCGTATTGGGTAGATCTAAGGTTACCTTCTCCAAGTTTTAGGGAGGTGAATGATGACAAGGGCGCGAATGATCGCCGGAAAGCGGAGATCAGGGTAATGTTGAAATTCGGTGCTTCTGAATGAGACTGTAACAATTTAACAATATTCAAATTCATGTGTCCATTCTATGTAATAGGCCGGCTCGAGGCGCTTTAACCCCTGAGCGATATCCGAAGCGGGTTCATTATTTCTGCTCAAGTAGCCATTTCACACCCTGGACGGTATCTTCCACAAACTCACGGCTTCTTTCCAGTTGCGGCCAATTGGTCCAAAAGTAATGGCCGAATCCCTTATACAAGTCTAGCCGTGTTTTTACGCTTACCTCCTCTCTTAAAATCTTCTCATAAATCAAAGCTTCATCTCTCAGGGGATCTAGCCCGCAGACCTGAAAGTATGCAGGTGGCAGCGCGCGGTGTCCGCCTTCAAGTCCCCCATACAGGAAGGGTACCATGCGCGGATCGGACCATGATGCTTTGAGGGTCTGAGCCACTTGCTCGGCGAATTCGGCGCCAGCTTTGATCTTGAGCACCGGGTCTATGTTAGACGTGACATCTGGATGTGAAAGGTACTCTGATCGATATTGTGGCGAGATCAATGCTGGAGGAGTCAGACACATTATCGCCGGTACGCAGAGGTATTGACCTGTTAAGGGTGGGTTGAGTTTCTCGTCCCGTGCTATGTGCGCGAGAACAGCCGTGATGTTACCTCCGGCTGAACCACCGCCGATGATGAAGCCAAGAGAAGGGTCTGCGCCGAGAGATGCTGCATTTTGCGCTGCCTGTACAGGGTAGTGGTAAGCACATGGAGGGTTGCGTAAATAGATGACGGGTAGGTAGAAAAATATAAAGGAATACTTACCCATTTCAACGCATCCCAGCTATCATCAATCCAAGTAGGGAAAAGGTGTTCCGGACCTAGACTATTATTATACATGTTCTATTAACTTCCAATACTATATTCATGTTTGAAACACTTCGTGGCTTCTACCTGTACACGAAGCATCCGCATTGTTACCAAAACGTCTCACTTAACTCACTTACCGATAGTCGACATTGACGCAGATAGCCCCTAGATCGCGACTGAAAAGCCGGCAATTGGTCTCTTCGTCGCTCAAATCACCCATGCTCCACCCGCCCTCGTGATACATCACGACTAAGGGGCTTCCTTGCGTGGGCTTCACAACAGGGCGATAGATGCGCACCGTGATCTCGCTGCCATCACGCACGGGTATCTTGCGGTCCTCCTCGCTAACCTGCTCCGGTATTGGCCCTGGAACATAGCGGAGGTGGTGTTTTTCACGCAGAGTAGTGGCCCGGTGTGCGCGTTGCGCCGAATGGGACTCATCTCCGTAATACGGATCGGAAGGCAGTGGGTCCCGGACCGGACTACGGGCTAGTGCCTGTTGTCATGTCGGCAAGTCCTCTTAGAATATGAGATGCTTATCTCGGATAGAAACTCACGTCTACCATGGCTGGGTCCATTATTCCGTAAGAGAGGAGCTCTTCTTTAGTACGAGGCGCCATCGTTGATGTCGTCTAGATACGCTAGAGTGAAAAAAAAAACATATGTAACGGCCGAAATAAGGCTGACTCGGGAATAGTTACGCTTACAATATTACCTGTCGGGGTCGTCGAGAGCAGAATGTAAGGGAACGAGGAGCAAACCTCGGCCGAATGTGTGATGATATCATTTCGCTTCTTTCCCAAGCTTTATTCTGATATAGTGATATGGATGGTGAATTATTTTGGGAATGATGCTATTACGATATCGATATTTACCATTTTATCGGATACATCTACGAAATTGACATATCGTCATATGGTGTAATTCGTAGATGCTTCGTTCTATTGAAAAAAAAAATCTGTTTAAATCTCAACCAACAGACTTCGACGTGGCAGTACGATTAGGTAAATAAAACTCAAAATACCAACTGAAGGTCGGTCAAGCTAGTTCACGGAGGGATGGTTGAGCCGTATCGACCGACACTTTTCGGCCGAATCCCCCGCAATCGATCGGGACTGAGATTTACGCATAATGACTTTCGGGTAAGCTGACGAGCTTAATCCGAGGATCAAGGAGCAGGTAGCATGAAAAGGGAATTGTGACTTCCTGAATAGGCGTTACACATATAAGTCAGGACCGATGGTTGGTAGTTTCGTACTTGATGAGCAGCACGGTGATAACTCATGCGGTGTCTTAAAGTGATATCCTAGTTGTCGTTGAACAGCTTACTCAGCCCGGACGACTACATTGAATACCTCTTTGGCCAGGTGTGAGACTAACTCTCCGTATCGTCCTTTTGATCGGCGAGCGGCATCCAGGTTCTCGGTTCCCCGCAGAGTCAAGGTTAAGCTTCGAAGTAAGACAGTTAAGTTTATAATGGCAAATATCTACTCGATTGCAACCCTCCATTTTATTCGTGTAACAGCGGTGTGAGAATGATCTATTTATTCTCCGAGATGGTAACTAATTGTGTACATTGTCACATCTACCTGAACGGTATAGTGTCTATGCGGAGAAAGTCTTGACGGCGGCAACAACACAGCAAACCCAACCAGCCAAATCCACCGTCAATGTCCTCCAATTATGAACATAGAGCCAGCTCCTAAGCTCACTCACATTCTTCTCCTTGGCGTCGCCGGTGATGGCTCGGATGTGAGGAAGAACGAAAGGGAAGTATACTTGGTGGCCAATCGCGAACGCGATGGCACCAGAGTACCAAATGAACGAGCCGCGTTCGTGTAGTAGGTTGTCCGATGCGTACCATAAGTTAGCCGCAGACGACACGATGGTGATGAAGACTAGGCCAACTACCCGAGGCGCGCCCCGGTCGAAGAAGGTGCTGAAGTAAGACGGCAAAAGTTGATTGACCAAGTCCCGTTTGCTTGGGTCGAGGAATAGTTGTAGAAACTCGTACTGGTCCCAGCCGAACCATAGCGAGCAGGTAGACGAAATGGCGGGGGTGATACGGAGCAGCGCAATAGGATCGAAGAATAAACCCGATGCCATTTTCGTAGCCGCCGAGACTTCGGTCTTGTGAAAAAGGTATAGTTTAGGTGCTGTATGTGTCGTTTACTAGACACTACCGATTTGGAGGATAAGTAAGCTTACGATAGAATTTGATAATTGAGTGTAGGTACGATGAGGACTAGATGGGCTACATCATAACCTTTATGCGATGCTATATATCCAAAGGATCTTTTTTTCGATGCGGTCAGCTTCGAATGAAGTCTAGGGGTCTTCAAACACATCGCAACTCACATCTAATAATAGTTGCTATTCCAGGGACAGTAAATTAGACTAACAATCCTACAATACCGTAGCGTTGATAATTCATCTACATCTCCCTATTATCTATTCTTTCCGTGAAAGTGTTTCCCATGTCTACCGAGGTAGGTACCTAAGGTAGGTAGGTAGCATTAACTTGAGAGTCCTATGAGCGTAGCTGAGCTTCTGCATAAATACTGATCCTACAATGACGAGGTTCGAATTCTAGATGGAACTAAAAACTGAAGTTAGGGGTAAGTATGGAATCCTTCTTGTTGCGTAATATCATAGTAGAATTAGGATTGAGGCGTGGTAGTGATGTGTTTACAAGCTAAGGAAATTTAATAGGGCATCAGTGTTCACGATCTTAAACTCCCACAATCTAGAACTTGATACTGTCATTAGCCCCTATTGAGATTTGACTGCCGTTGCATTGCATGCATAAGTGTCGGTAATAAGTATTACTTAAATGACTAGGTGCATAGTAGATTCTCACCATTTTCGTATAAGCTGAAGGATAGTAGTTCTAGTTAATGTTTTTTGGAACTCATCGGTAGTTGGATGCAACTGTGCCTGGCAGTAAGATGATATGCTTACAGGCTGCTGCAGCTCGGTATCGTTAACGCAGCTCTGCAGGTCACTTATAGTGGGGTACCTGAAAGTCCCTTAGGGCTGTGCAACTTACCAAGTTCAGGGGTGCTTTAGCCCCCGCGGGGTAGAAAACCTCCAATCGCAACGAGCACCTGAAATCTACAAACATCAATCATAAACAACATTATCTACCAACGATCATCACTGTAGGTACCTAACTCAATATATCCATTTAGGTACATGAAATTCATAAATATATTCGTTTTAAGATAGTTTTCTCTTGAAACTATCTATATATAGTATAATATAGTAATACCTACTCGTCCCAACTACGAACGCATGAAGTTGAAGTTGAGTGGTATATCTTCTTAACAATGTTTTACCTCAAAATGAGCTCTCGAAGGTTGTCTTACGTCAGAAACTAATTATGCCCGACTTTGACCAACTCCCTGTGTAAAGTAACATCACATTGTACTATTAGGCTGCTTCGACATATTGACGTGCCTATTGGTGCCATGTTCTCAGGTTAGTAGACCGGTATGGTACGTCCAAATTCTTCCAACTTGCAAAAGAGTATACTTACGCCAGTTGCGTTGTAGATTACCTAAGGAATGAAGACTTAGGCTACTATGCCTTCCCATATGAATCTTTCCAACTCGATAGATTAAATAGTACTTGGGTACCTGATCTCCTTTATTTGGACTATGTCATTTTATTTATTGGTAGGTACTATCTATTCTCATCAATCTAGTGTTGATAGCTAAGCACTCAGATACGTATAGATATATTCGTCTTATAGGACTTCTATTAGGTAATGTGGAACGAGTGGTTAAGCCTATCAACGTCGTCTTGTATGACAAGCTTCGAGATCTACTTTCCCCTTACAACTTCTATGTACGTAAGCACACACATAATGGGAATCGCATGAATCAAACATCTCGACCGAGTTCGGTCATCGGCTGAAAGCTTGAGAGAACTGTCAGATATTGCGCATGAATATGATGACAGGAGCAACTACGATGTAACTAACATGATGTATCCAAGGAAAGTAGTAGAAATTATATAGAATACAATCACGTCGTCGTTAAGTATAAAGATAGAGATATCTGCCGCCTCTGAGTAGTGATATTTTACAAAACAGCATCCTCATTCACTTCTATCAATCAACACTCAATACTCAACACTCATCACTCATAACAACTTACAACAAATACAATCTTCAAGATGTCTGGACTTATCAAGTACACTGTCGAGCACTACAAGAAGGCTGGCGTCTCAGACGCCGACTTCGTCAAATGGTTCAAGGAGGTCCAAGTCGCCAACGGCCTTCCCTTGATCAAGAAGCACGGTATCGTCAAGTACGCCATTGTAAGTCCTCCTAATATATATCGACCACCCAAACACAACCTTCAGTTTACTAACCAGAAGATAATAGCACTTCCGCGACGCTCAGCTGAGCACCGCATTCCGAGCTGAGCTGGACAAGGTCCGCCCTGAGTGGGAGGTCAGCGACGCCGACATCACCATCGAGTACTACCTGCCCGACATCTACTTGATCCAGAACCTCCTCGCCGACCCCGAGTGGGAGAGCAAGGCCGCCAAGGACCAAGGCAGCTTCGTCGACCTATCCAGGTCCACCATCCACATCGGCCACGAGACCGTCTACTTGGAGAACTAAGTCAAGGCTGAAAGGAATCGGGCTTGGAAGTGTTAGATACCTAGTCACGATGTATATGAGATGTCACGATGCTGCTTTGGATGATATCTAGAAATATAGAGATCGATTGCCACTACTTTATGTCTTCAACGTGAACTATTATGAATGATAGGATCTTACTGGTGCAAACCAGATCTTAGAGACGTAACAACCTCCGATTTGAAGGATATCTATCCTATTCGTCGATAATCTTGACGATGCCCTGTAATGAGTACCTAGGTATATCTAATTTATCTCAAAAACAACGTCGTAATTGCCAACTAGCAATTACGCCTTATATGTGACATAGTTCTAGTAAGATAAGGACTGAAATAAGTATGCATTTTGTCAGGGTATAAGTGACACTAGTATGAATCAGGCATAGATCCCCATAGAATAGATATATAAGGGGCGCTGCGCGCCCCTCGAAAGAGAGTAGAAGGTTAAGCGTTAATAGATTCATACTACTACGCGGCTACTATACAGCAGCTTTGCTGCTGCTTCTATCATTCACTCTACGTATGACAACCATCAAGGGGTATCTCTGACACATTTACTCCGGGGTCTGTCTTGGTTGGTCACAATTTTCGTTTTATCATAAAATCGAAAACGTACCTATATAAGTTGTGTGTAGTAGTAGTATCTGTTGTAGCAGTATCGAATGTTACATTTGACATTATACTATTGGAACCTAACAGGGTCGGTTCTGACCCCCTCTGCGATGACCATGCAACTAGATACTTTTCAAATACTAAAGTACTGTTAGAATTGATTTGTTTATAGGTGTATGAAGGCGTATGATTCTTGCGTTAGGTAGAAACTTTGCTAAGTCTATGTAAAGTCACTCGTTATTATTTAGTAATATCATTTTCTATATTTTAACCCCTATTTCCTATGGTGAGTAGGTAGTTTCCGACATTTATTCAAATATTCTTCCAGTTTACTATTCGGCATATCATCATGTCTGCCACAGAACATGACATGCTCCCGGAAATCATGTCGGGTTGTGTATCCTCGGGAATATTGTCCCCGACAGCTAGATTCTGGACAATGATACGTCACGTCTAACGCAAATCGTTCCCAGCGTTCAGTTTCTGCTCGTTCGTGTCGGATGGTAACGAGTTCCCTTGCCATATTGAGAATTTTCTCCTCAATGCTAGGTTGAGATAGATAATCGTCTGTTTCTCTCTTAATTCTATCAAGTGTTGATTTGCCTGAATTGGGCGGATCCCAGTCATCCAAAGCAACTTTCGCAAGTGCTCCCTCAACGTTGAGCCTCCATCGATGCTTAATCTGTAGAGTAACACATTCGTTGTTCCATCCTTGTACACCGTTTGGGCCTTCTGTATCAGTCATGAAACGCCGGACGCCATGGAAGAGTTCGAACCATTTCTTCAAAGCTTCTCTTTTCCGTCTGCCGGAGTCCACAATTCCATCATTGAAACTTTGGCGGCGAGAAGTTCCTCCTTCTTGGTTCTCATTTTCTTTCGTCTTTAAGCCACAGCCTATACTAATAAATATTCTGGGGGAATAGCCATGAAGAGCCCGGACCTCTTCAAGAACTCGGAGAGATGGGTTATTGGCGAAGACACCACCGTCAAAATGTTCTTTATCACCTATCTTGATAGGTTCGAAGTACGACGGGGCAGCAGATGTCGCGCGCGCAACCTGCCATATTGGTATCGTGTGAGCAAATGAAGGATTCATGGGCCGGTATGTGTCATTAGACGTATTTATCCTAGACTCATGACTGTAACTCCTCCATAGGTATCCCATATCTATGCCTTCTTTCTTATCGACCGAGAAAGAAAATACTATACTACACATTTTATTAGTTAGTATGATTTGTAGACGGATTTAGGTCTAGCTTGTGAGAGGATTGAATAGAGATTTGTTACATACGTCCTGGTCCGGTCTTTACGATACTTGAATAATTCCATCTCTGCTTGATAGTATGGTAGAGTTTTGTCGTGCTCCGTTATCTTGTTGTGAATAATCCGCTTGAATGCATTTCTAGCTTTCTTCGATGGATACTTGGCTCTGGGAAACCAAAGACCAGACCTCGCGTGCCACCATCTTGCTTTTCCAAATACGCTGTCCCCAAACATCTTGTACTGCTGGAGAGCTTCGTCTACGGTCATGCGGAGCCTACCGAGCATAATAGCTGATAAACTAGAGGTATTATATTAGCATACCAAGGGGTGTCCTGTAGTAACCCCCACTTACCCTCCTGTGGATGTGCCTGCTATGTAGTCAAAATAATGGCAAGGCAAAAAGTCGTCAAGAGTGCTTTCATTGGAGGTCGTTGTACTAGAGGTGCGGGCTCCCATCCATGGGTAATCCCTACTAGAGCAGATAATGCTGTTGGAGCCCTCTGTTTCAATCTCTTTAATCTTTGACATCAGTGTCTTCAGGACTAAGAGGCTAGAGTAACCACGCACGCCTCCTCCATCTATGATACAACAGAAGCATCAATACGGAGACTGTTTAGACGTTTCCAATTAAATCTCTTACCAAATGTCAAAACCGTCTTCTTTGCCCATGGTCCATCCAGAACTTCATCGGAAATATCTTGATACCTTCGTAGTGGCCTGCTGGGTTCGTTTGTGGCTGAGGGGGTATGGCCCACTGGCTCAATCGCGATAGACATCAGCCACCAGATGGTGCAGAGAGGGGCAGAGAAATTGCATGAAAAGAAACGACAAGAATCTACATAGCTAATAAAATTTCTGATATTTACAGCCTTATATTGGAGCAGTGCATTGCATCGGTGTATTGAGAATTTTGGTTGGCATATCCCCGATACCTCTAATTATGAAGCCCTTGATGCCACCCCTGGGTTGGTTGTACTATGTGAGATTCCCGGGCCATTTTAATCTCTATATACTACTCTAGGCGTCTTCTATGGTGATAATCATGGCTACCAATATTCATATTTTTATTTTCGTCTCGCCTTCATGGAAGCGCTGCGGAATCCCGCTATAAAAAGTACCTAAGGTCGGTATATAAAATACTGGATTAATAAGTAGACTCAATATCAGCCTATGAAGCCCTCATAGGAGCATGATGTATACGATTGTTTCTGATGGGGCTCAAAGGAAGTAGATAGAGTCATAACTGATTCATTTTCTTCATGGTAAGCCGCATATTACATACATAGGCTGGTAGGATTTAAGACGGAGTAACGTCCGCTAAGTTCGCTAAGCCCAAGCAACTCCTTTGAAAAAGCGGTAGGCAGATCGGACACTAGAAAATGGTTGTATAACACACCAATGTTTGAGGCGCTTTGGGGGAGGTTTGATTGGATTAGGGGAATAGCACAGCACAAGAGGAATGCAATACAATGATCTCCGCCTTGCTACGCCTGTGCTTCTTCACTAGAAGTTAACGAGGCTCAGCTATGGTAGAGATAACAACTGCATACTGATAACAGACGTACAGCACGTGAATGATGACAGCAAGATAGATTCCGATAAAAATATGAGCCTGGATAATAGCAGAGCACAATTTCTGCTTCTTTTAGTTCCCCTATTAATGGCAATATATTATCACTACGATTAGTTATTGTTCCTTTTGCACTCAAGAACACCATTAGTTCGGTAGAAACAGTGTTCTGCAGGTTGAAATTTTCTATTCACACGTGCGAAAGGATGATTGGACTGGGATATGGTGAGCGAAGAAGTTTTGGGTAGTACAAATTGGAGGCATATGTCCATCGATGCTATCGTGGCGTTAGTTGGACGCCACTATGATCTCGGGCCTTTGAATGCTCATATGACTCGTATGGAATAGGTGGGTAACACGAAGTGAGCACTTATTCAGCCTACAAAATGAATCCAATTTTACAAGTACTTAGATGATGTCGACTTTTCAACCGTCAATTGTTCAGTATTACATCGACTCTCGCATCGGTGCCCTCTCGATATCCTCAATTCTTTTTATTTTTTATATTTACTGATCAACCTTGGAATTCTTGTTATTAAACAATGGTCAAGAACAGTGTTGCTGTCCTCGATCCGAAGCGTCACAAACTTGTGACGCTAGATCGTCAAAAATTTGAGGCCATAGATAAAGCAGGAGGTGAGCTTGAACGCTGTGTCAAAATGCGGTTTCCTATTCCTCAACATAGCAATGACAGGAGGTATTTATGCTAACATTACTATCCCAGCCGAGCAATACGTTGATCTTCCCCGGTTAAACCCCGTCGTTGACGTCCCTGTGTCAGGGACACCCGAAAACGAGACTGTCGCAACGGTCCACCTCTGGCGACTGGGGCTCAAATATAATATGGATAGACTGCTCGGGAATAGCAAGCAGTTATACGTTCTGAGGGATTGAATCCTGGTATTTTTGAAGAACGCGCGGGCCCGTGGATTGGTTGATTTAATTTTCAGTTAGACAATTGAAAATGCAGTCGCAAATGGCTCACTACCTCCCGTACCGGCTCCATATAGAATTATTAGATATATATACCTAGATTACGTTAAATCTAATAGTAATGTTATTGTCTTCGATGTCTTAGATCTTGTCACCGAGTCAGAGCCATCACTGCAATTACACTTCCCGGGCAATTTCGATAAATCCATAAAGGGTCCAGTTCTACGGGCCACAGAGAATGCGAAAGGGGAATATCGGTAGATTAGTATTGTTAGCTGGCTGGGTAATTATTTAAGGGGTGGCTAATTCTCCAGTCTACAACGATACGACGAAGTTTGAAATTTTACAATCGAATAACATTCTTATACTTGTGAAGGGTGGTGGCGTTGGGTTTATGTAGACAGTATAAGTTTGTTAGTTTCTTGTTTGTTTACTATAGATTCTCTCGCAAAACGATACCGTAACTGCTAACGAGCACCTTCGCATTATATTGTAACAACTTCTCAATTCGATGGAGTTACTAAATACCGACGAAATAAGACAAGAGCGATGACATTAAATAATATTTATGTACTACTTAATAATTTAGGGGGCTTAGAAAATGAGACATAAGTTAAGTCGAGAATACTTACATGTAAAATGGATTTTATTCTATTTTAACCATCATGATTTACTCGGGGAAGAACTCATATGCATACTCTTCCTTCCGTCCAGTCCAGGGCCACACTATTTCCAAGTCTCCGTTATCATTCTGGGTGAAGTTTGCTTGAGTTTCACCAATGCTTAGAATTTTGAGGTGTGGGAGGACTTTCATCACCATGTCAGCAGCCAGTTCAGTGGTATCGACGCGTTGCTTTACTACGGAACGCCCGTAACGCCTTCCACCTGGTCCTCTATAGGCGTGGCCACACCAATGTCCACCGTTAAAGCCTAGACGTAAATCTGATGAGTCGGGTAGATGTAACTGCTCGAGCTTGGGAAATCTAGAGATTATGGACAAGTATTCCTATGACTTGGTTAAAATGTAATGCGCTTATATTAACAATAGAACGTTAAAACTGACCTTGAAAAGTCGCCCTTCCTCCTTAGTTTCTTCTTTGGAATTTATGTCCTCTCTCCAATGTCTACCAGATTCCAATGGACCCTGTATCGTCAACTTTACTAGGTTAGGCATAGCCTCCAAAACTTCTGTATTTATATCAGCCAAATACGCATATAAATGATTGGGGGAAGTTTAATTACCTTCAAGTCTCTTAGGTGTCCAGTCACCTAGCATCAAGAACTCTTTAAGACTATTCACGGAAGAGGCGGCGCGCACTATATCAAACTTCGAATCGCGGTCTTCACGATCCTCGCGATACCCCTCATTCCAGCTATCGAGATGGAAATTACCGGCCTCCAGAGTCTCTAGGCCGGGACACATGGGTAGAAGGTAATGGCTCTGTGCGCTAGGAACTAGGTGTCGAATGCTAGGAAGCGTTAAATTCCGTTGTAAAAACTCGTCTCTGAAAGCTATCGTGTGGTCTGTGTCGAGTCCCCAATTCAGTCTCTCTAAATGCGGCATGGATGTCAATACTTCCGCAAACAAGCCCGGGAGTTCGGATGGCATTTCTGGGTCAACGAGCGGGTCAGAGAATTTGCCGGTATGTACGTAAATGTATACATCTAAGTATCTAACGTCCTCAAGAGCGGCGGTGCAGTTGCGCAACTCTTTAAGACGCGAAACAGCATTATCCCATCCCAACCGGTCGATACCAACTTTATTATTATCGATGTTGATGCGGCTGAAGAGATCAGTTGGGATCTCGTGCCCAGGGGATGGGTCAGTCCATAGCGGGGAAGACTTGTCACATAGAGCACTGGCGACATCAGGATACGACTCAAGCCAACCATGGTTTTCAGATAGCCATGGGTGGTCTGTATCAAGGATGAAAGTGGGGATCAGCGAGTTCGCCATTATATTTTGAAGAAGTTCGCTAAGTTGTTGGAAGTAGAATGGTAAGTCAGAAAACTTTGGCCAGGTACCTGCAACGGTAGTCGCCCCTATATATAGGCAGTAGAGAGCATGTGGCAATTTCATTGGCCAGTGTCAACTGCCAAGTAGGGGAATATGATGGTTCTCTGCTGCTGGAAAACAAAGTCAATGATCTTATAAGATATTAACTTAGATATGTAGGTACCTCTGTAAGGTAGTCTGACGCTCCGTAATACCCCTTTTAAAATATTAATTATTCCAACATGATTCGCGAGAGATGTTCTCTTGACGATTGTTATGACTCTTTGCCGATCGAAAATTGAGGGGGCTGAGGGGAGTAACAGGGGATTGCTGCCTACCTGCATAGGAGGATTTGCCCCCTATGCATTAAAGCTTTTAAACAACTATCCTCTAATTAAGAGAGATATTCATCTGATTTCAAGTATACTAACTCAGAATCTTGATACATTTTATCAAGTAAATAATGCCTCTCTCAAGTAGCTAACCCGTTCAATATTCAGATAGCCCCTAGCCCCTATCCCCTATCCCCTATCGCAATGCCAGCAACTTTCACTTGGGTATTCAAGACATTGTTATACGGTTGACTTTAATATGAAATATTATTAGAGACGATAGGCTTAAGCTTCAAGTAAAGGTTATCGAATTATTCATATCAAGTACCGATGACACTACATTAGCAATCAAGTGCACGTCCATATAAGTGCCTCCTAGAGTACCTAACCTATGTATATTTAGAGTTCTCAATTCAGGAGTTTGTTTCACCCCCTTTTCACATATCGTACTCTAGTGAATTTATGAAATTATGAGTTTCGTGAGCACACAACTCCTAAGAAAAAGAAGCATATATACGCCTTAAAAAGACAGATAAATATATGAAGATAGAATTCATCCGGATATTAGAACGATACTTCTCCCTTAGTTTCAGAGCCTAGTATTCTAGATATTCCTATCCTTCTTCCACACTCTTAGTATTTTGTAATACACACCTAGTTCCGAATGAATCGGTAGTCATTATATTATCATGCTATTAAAGCTCACGAATATGGTTCCTCTAGAGGTGTATCTTTTAGAGGGCGTAGCTGTCATAGGTCTTTTATAGTAGGCTACCACTACTCAATTTAAGAAACTTGCGCAGTCTAAAGATTCCAGGGCACTATATCCTCTCTCAGATTGGTTCTCAAGTCCCCTTTCAACGATGAAAGGGCACCTGAGAGATCGACGCAGCAGCAGACAGCGCTCTCTCTTCAGGCCACAGCAAGAGAGGTCCTCCAGCCAAAACATACTATGGTGGGTTTAAACCGGCGTAATAGGAAGGGTTTTGGAGTCGTTAATTTTATTGTTAAGAATTACTAGTAACTCTAGTGGTAGACTTAAAAATTAGATACTTTTGAGGTTGCTATGTGCACTGGCCATAAAGATCACATCATGTCACATGATATTATACCACAAACTCTACCCCCTTACTATCCCCGAAATTAAGGGGCAACAATATTGTAAATGGCCTCATTTTGGGGTGTTAAGGTCCTACTATTAGTCGTTTACATACTTATTCTTATCTATGCGTGTATACGCACTTGTCGATTTTTTCGTGTGTATGTTATATTAATACACGAGGGGGTCTCCCCATAGGTATGTTCAGTTGATCTGAGCCTTGAATCTCATAAAGTCATGTAATTATCTAAATTGTCAGGGCATTGATGTTTGCAATACATATATGGCTAGAGAATCTAGGCCTCGCCGAATACCAATGAAATCGCTTTTCTATGACTGTGTGTTGTTGACGTTCGCGCTTCGACTTAGCATGGTTTCCATCCTTGGTCAAGAATTTATTTCGATATAATAACTTGGTTTAAATATGTTGTGAAGATATATCTACTAAAAGATAAGTAGGCAGTTGCTTGGGTATAGAATGAGCACACAACTTCATTTCCGCTTGAACGCCATATTCATACATCATAGGCTTTCTAACATGCAAATTAAGGTAGGATAGTTTTATACGCCGCATTTCTTCAGGGAGATTTATAAGAACCAGCTTTCCTTCTGACCCTGTCGTTAGACATAGTAGTAATAAACTTATCTAAGTGACTCAGATCCACTAAGCTACTGCCGTTCCGGGTCCCGATCTGTCGAGCTGTCACTATAATGTTTAACTGGCTTTAGAGGATATGTATCAGAGATGCTCTCGTCAACACGAATCCAGCTCCTAGACGCCTGTGGATCTTCGACTTCGGGCCAATCATGTACTGGCATGTTCGGATGGGGACCCCTTGCCTGATTCCCGCTAACGCCCCGGGTTCTAGTCGAATTCGCAACTGATAACCCGTACCAATTTCGAATTGCCCTTATAGCCTTAGAATCGTCGCTAAAGAGGGGCCCAAGTGTAGGGAGGCAGGCACAGAGGATAGCTACACCTGACTGTATTTCTCCCCATAGTATAAGGACACTAAAGTCAACTGTAAAGTTATTAGTATGTCTGAGAGATGTAGGTAATAACTAAAAGAGCAACTTACAATTCTTGGTTGGGTCTGGAAGTGGATATATTGCTGTCAAGCGAACGATGCTTGCAACACAAACGCTATGCTTGTTAGTTTAAGCCGACCTAGGAACTTCAAGCAACTTACAGTCCTCCCAATACAAAAATAACCAAAAGAGAGATCCTCCTGGTCATAGATAACTGGAGCTTTTTCAACATGCCAAAAGGAATGCAGAGGATTACCACATCTAGGAGTAGATTCGTTGTTTCATACCCTAGAAGGAAGTCGGTTGAATTGAGGCAATACAGTTCCGAGTTAAGCTGAGTCCAGAACGCATCGATAGGGTCGCATTGAAATGTTATGATCGATATAGAGACAATGAACCAGATGATACATAAAACGGCTGTGGTTAAGGTTGCTCGCTTGCAGGTCTTGTTTACTGAGAATATTGAGTAGTAAAACCACAAGATGCTCAATTTCACAGTAGTAATGATTCCGCTAAACAAGAACTCGCAGATCCAAGTCATCTTTTTGCCATTTAGTCCCTTATCGTTTTCTAATTGGTGTTGGTTGAGCGCAACTTACTCTCAGAAGTTCGGCCACCTCGGGAGGCTCTAAAGGGGGACCGGTTTCAAACGCGCCATGTCTGACGATAACTAAATTGATATTCAGTCTAAGTCCTGGTAAAGGAACCAGTGATTTAGGAACAAGCGCCTACAGTCGATTATGAGACCACATTGGGCGCAATAAAGAATCAGGGACACGATACATAACCAGTCGTGGCCTTTAAGACATTGAAGCTGACTGATTCTCACCCAGATTCTTAGGAGAACAACGATAGAAGTCAGACCAATCAAAACAGCACAGGTACGCAGATTCTCCTGTCCGGTGGAGGTAGTGGAATGCGGTGTCGTAGTTATAATAGAACCCATCGGTCCGGTGGGTGGACGCGATGGCCTCAAGCGAATTGAATAGATTTAAACTTAAAGCAAGACAAAAAACAACAACAACAAAGATCACATGTTGCTCGATCTTCATCTAAAGGTCCATAAATGAATAAAAAGTCATGCTTCCAAAAGAAGGCTGGTGCTGTCGGTGCGGCGGTGTCTACGTACAAGGTTCGCTGATAGGTCAATTATAAGATGTAAGCGGCACAGGCAAATGGCCAAGCAGAAAGATGCCGGCATAAATACACCCCTTCATAATATTTTAGCGGATGATACTCTCTGTGTTGTATCTTACATAACTTTCGCCATTTTTAACCCTTCTGTCGATTAGTTAAATTTAAAAAGAGGTAAGTTTGGGGGATTTCTTACTATTTTATGGGTTGGAACAAGATAAGTTTATGAAAGGTCTATGTCACTTACTTAAGCAAGGCTTTAAGCCTAAGATCAACATTCATTTGGTGTCTTTCTACGAAGAAGTGTGTATTAGATCATTAAAATAATACTTGCGCTGTCATCGTAAACTCAACTCCCCGCACCCAATAGATACCGCACTTTAATTAAGAAAAAACAGGCAGTAGTTAGGTAGGTAAGAATTGATTCGAGATACCTCGATCAGGAGGGTTTCCCTTATATATTTTAAAAATATTGCAGAAGTTAGAATAATCTTTTATTAGTCCTTTGAATCCAATACGCTATTTTTATCTAGGTATCTTGCCCGATTCCTTAATTGAAGCGTAATACCCTCTAAGTGCGAGGAGAGGAGGCCAAAAACCAGCACTAACACCGTGCAACTGCAAGATCGGCAAGATAATACAAGGTACCTAGGTACCTATCTATAGATCGCAAGCGGGATTGGCGACACTAACGCCGGTGAGAACGGGAACTTAATAAAACCCCCCACATATGATCTTAGTCCACCGTAATCCGTACTAGGCTTGGAATATATAAGGGACTCTAGCTTGCGGGAGTGCCGCCGGCAAAGGGACAATGAATTAACGATTTCCCGACCAACTATCGGACCGAGATCGACATATTCGGGTACCCGCTCAACCGACCTGAGCATATTAGGGTTGTAGGGTTGCACTATTAGTTACATTTGTTGGCTGCATGGGTTCGTAAGTTCGTAAGTTCGTACTCGGCTCGTTTCTTATGAGCCAAACAAAAACCATGGCGTGGAGCGGAACACTTTTCGCGACATCATCACGAAAGATAGGAGATAATTATTGTAAATGTATAGCAGAGCCGATGCCGAAATGCTTAATGCCGAGGTCTCTCTCCTATACATAGATGATCGGCATATTCGGATTCACATAATTGGAAATTGCTTCGTACGGAAGAAACTACCAAAAGTAAACCAAACAAGCATCAACGCCCACGTAATCCGAAATCCGATACATCTTGTCGCATGGCAATATACGATAAGTCACATAAAATGTCAATTTTTCGCTTATCAGAGCTGAATCTCGCATATTAGACCTGGCTATCATTTCCAAAAGTATTCTCCCTCTCATTAAGACCGAGGCATAAGCCACTTGCGTATTGTTTGAGTTTCCTGGCATCTCAGACCATAAGCAGGGTATAAGGTCTGTGCTGCAAAACAAAGGTAGGGTACGGGGAGCTCGGACAAGCAGGCATTGTCAATACAGTTAGATATATACTGTGAATAAAATAATTACGATTTTGAATTATGTTTCGGGGATACCCCACTAGATCGGGGGAGAGCTACATCTAGGGCTACGATGCATGCTGCGTCGCAATAATATGCGACGAGAACATGGTATATTTGTCCTGTGACAGACTTATCACATCGGGGATGTAGTTGCATACATTCAGACGCCCCCACGTGAAGATCCTTGTCTCCGAGAGAACAGACCAATCATTGCTCGTTCTTATAGTATCTCTCACTTGTATCTCCGCCCCCTGATCGCGGTATCACCAACCTGGTTAGCCTTGTAGCGTACGGATCACCTTAAGGCTTAAGAGACCCTTTCCACGTGGGTCTATAACTCCACTACTTAAGCTTATAGAAACACAGACCAACGGCTATCTCTGGGGGGCCGAATTTATTACCCCTTTTGTTTATACTGATGGCACCATGGCATGGAGCTCACGGACAACGTTACGAGATGCCATGTAATATTAGTGAAGAGATCGGGGTAAGAGGAGCTGGGGAAAAAAACGATCGATTATGTTTATCAGTAATAATATCATCAATAGTATACGTTCTATTCAATAGTTAGTGTAGTTATAACTATCATAAAAAAGCAAATACTATAACACAAACCCGTTTCGTCGATCAAATCTATATAGCATTACCGAATAACCTGTCTGGGTACTTTGCCCATGGTTAGAAGCAGGCTGGTAGGCGTACAACATACCTACTTTCATACACATGGCATAACTGCCGCTCTTTCCACAAGCTAACACCAATTAGAGGATTCTAATAAAATCAAGCGTGCGCGGTACGACCCTTGGTTGCATCGTCCGCAACACGATCCTACCTTGTGGCCCACATATGCGGGAAAGTCCAAACATGCACAACAACCATCTGCATTGCAACACAGTAGTTATATGCTCCGTAGTAGTGATGGCTTCATGGTATTACACGTGCTTATGCTAGGTGTATAGGCCGAATCCCGAAACAAGAGTGATTTCCTGTTCATGGTGAGAGGTAGAACAAAGGTGATTGATCACTTGCCTGCCTTGTACGTAGGTGGCTTCGGTTTGGCACATATATTGACTTACTTATATTCGACAATGTTGCCTCACCTTTCCTTCTTCTGTGCATCGGACATCTTCACATCTTCACCTCTACTCTTACTCGTCCTGCTATCTCTTCATAGTGTACTACATAGTGTATGTCCACGATGGCATTGTCACGCTCCACCCAACCGCTTAAAGCTCTTTATATAATATACTTTACCTTAAAACTTCCATTTGTATTAATCTCACTTATATTATATTATACTATCCCTTCATTACGACCTATACGACAATGGACCATACGAACAAGTGTAGCCACTTACATTATACGCATATTCTTCAACCTCGTCTCTGTAATCGGTCTTTCAAGCCTCCGACCCTTAACTCCAGAGAAGGCTAAAGAACGATTTGCCTACGTCGAGCCTGGTGAGGACGAGCTTTACTCCGGCGTCTTATCTTCAGCAGCTATCAAGCCGGTGCCTCTAAAAGGTCTTTGGGATGCGGGTCTAGGTGGTCCGGTAACCATTGACAAGTCGAAAGTCCTCCTTCTTTTCCCTGGAGGTGCTTTTGTTTTTGCTTTTGATCCTTATGAGGGGTCCAATATCGTATCGGACCTGGTAAGACGTGTTCCAGGGGCCAGGGTATTCCTAGCTCAATATCGACTTGCCACCTCCCCCGCCGGCCGATTTCCAGCCGCAATCCAAGACGCCCTTACCTTTTACAATTACATACTAGACCTCGGCATCGATCCGAAAGACATCATCTTCCTAGGAGACTCGGCTGGAGGCAACGTTGCTGTGGGATTATTAAGATACCTAGAAGAAAGTCAGAAGCTTCCACTACCAGGTGGTGTGCTGGCATACTCACCGTGGATTCACGTAACCGACGACTCTAAGGGCCAATACGGAGAGTCTCCTAAGCTACGAACCGACTGTATCAACTACCCCGTCCTCCAGACTGGATACGAGAAGTACGTCCCCGAAGGTGGAATGACACCCGAAGTAGCACCATACTTTTCCCCTATGACGCACCCATTCAGGACGAGCGTGCCAGTATATATCCAGTCTGGAGAAGCCGAAGTTTTCTACGACGAAAACAAGCAGTTCGCAGAGGCAATGGAGGGGATAGAAGGCAACAAGGTGAAATTCCACACGATAAAGCACGCACCACACGACCTCATCCTATCACATAGGATGGTCGGCTTAACAGCTGAGGCAACCGCCTCGGTCGAGGACGCTATAGCCTTTGTTACCAAGGACGTGGATTGAAAGGGCAGACATGTGATATAGTTAGACACAGGTCAAGATGTTAGTTACATCGATGATGGAGGCCACGCAGCCCGGCGGAGCTTTCCAGAGCAATGCACGTAACACGATGCAGACGCTCAGATTCGAGATCACATATTTTTTGATGGAGTAACCTCGAGGAAGTTTTAATGGTTCATGATAATGACGAATAGCGCCAAGGGGATACGGAATAGGATGGGGAATGGGAGGTCAGGGATACCACGTGGGTCAACCCCTGTAAATAGCTTCAATTTAGCCAAGCTGCCTTTCTTATATGTATACTACGCCGCAGGCCAAACTTGGCTCTGGCGACTTCGCTATTGGATAGCGAATACGGATAGCATACAATAAAGCTAGTCTGTAAATGAATTATCCCCTTTTAACTTGTACCAGTCTATCGCGATATTAACATGGCGGCGTGTATCAAGCTGTGTGGTTTTACGCGAATTCTTAGTGAATATGAATACTCGTTCAGTCGCATTCAAGACGATTTGGTGTATAATACATGTTCCGCTGACCGAATCTCAAAGCGAGTAAGGCCGACATTAATCTGATTGATCACAATAGTTGATGTAAGCTCTCTTACTCTGATGTCATGCCGAGCCAGTTTCTGTACTTCATCCTAACCTCCTTTGACGCGACGGCTTTTTTTTCGGTCACCTATAGTACTGCAGCTGAACAATATTCTTTGCTTTTTAAACCAACTGCAGTATATACTCCAATTAAAACAAGTCTATTGAACCAAGACCCAACGTAAGTAAGCTTAGAGGCATTCAAGGAATGATGTAAGAAATGTTGGTCGATCAATTTAATGACTTTAACTGCAGTTGGTGGCAACGTTGGTGCTCATGCAGCAACCTACAACCATGAGAATTAAAACTATACTATTTTAATCATTAACTACCCCTTTCTTTTTCTTGATCCAGGAAGCCAACTGTATGTTCCTCCACACTCTTCCTTTACTTTCCCGTCATCTTTCGACTTGAGAAATAACCAACCAACAATAACTCCAAACAATCAGCTTATTATTATAACCAAGAATTAAAAGTTAAAGTTGGTAGTTATATGTTTAATAGAGAGCGGATCGACACTCTTTATGTTGGGGGTTGAGTAACAACTACAACCAAATTGTCTTAGGTGTAGGTAGGCTTGGTGTAACCCTATGATAGGAGCTTATGAGTTAATGTAGCATTGTTGAGATATTCAATCCCGGGTTCAAATGTATAATATAGAGCGCTTTATGCAGTACTTACCTGATATATTGGAGCCAATAATCCAGGATTCGACCACGTGGCACTCTCATAAAGGCCAATATTCCGTCAATAACGCAGGATAACACTTCACGTTACAGTCTTTAAAACACCTGTACGTCATGAGGTAACATTAAAGGTGCGATTCCTTACATAATTGATGACGACCAAGCAGAAAGATGTTGCTAATTCGTAATATGTGTAAAATACAGTAGCTTCTTGAATCAAGCATTATGACTTTTGAAAGCTATTGGTGGTTTCGGAGTATCTCTATTTCGGGTAGGGATAGGCTACCAGAAGCTCTTACGGCTATACACTTCGTATGAATTTACTACCGTACCCAGGTAGCTATTAGGCAGCTTCATGTTATGGGACTTATAGTCAGCAATTACCAGTATATCATATCATTATTTGATTTCAACTTGCCAGTTATATCTGGGATGGTTCCTATAGATATAGGTAACTTATGTTTATACTAAGAAAGTAAGTTACTCACATGAAGTCAATATCAAGAAAATCTACTTCTATATCTGTACATTTAACTTTTAGTAAACATGTCGAATCTAAATAATTAACACCAACAGAACATACTGCACAGTGATAAGATCTCATAGCATCGTTGCAAGTAATAATAATATATTCCTAACGTATCAAAATCAAAAAGCGTAACACATATAAACGTACCCAAATTCCCGTGTAGTCACCGCCTACATGGTAAATCCAAGATTTACCACGACCCAAGCTCTCGCGCTGGGTTCTTTTAGCAGCTCCTCCATCATCGTATACTCATCACTTCTTCCTCTGACTCTTACATGCATCGCACAAACCAGTCTTGCTGTGCATAACGTCCTTCTTCGTGAAGGTACCACACGAACCGGCTTTCTTTCCCTTGCCCACCTTGCTGCAGAGAATAACTTTCGCTTTAAACTTTGGCCCGGTGAACCGTCCGCAGGTCACGCAAACAACGCTAGCCCACTCCTCTATACACATTGTAGCTGTGTATGTGCTATTATATAGCACAGCGGAAGCAGTAAGGAGTAGATCCAAACGAAGGAGGAATGCGACAAAGCCGCGAGCTAATAGATGGTTCTGATGTTCAGCCTGGAGGCCGGGGTCAAAGTGAAGTACTTGATTGAAAGTAGTATCGCTTTAGGGTTCGACGGTGTTGAAATTGTGGTTATGATGGCTATGGTCGTTTGGGCATAAAGATAACTAGGAAGCCCGGGGGATATCCTCTTTATATAGATTTATTCCACCATATTTTCCAAAATGCCCATCCTTTCAGTGACTCCGAGAGTCTATCCTTTGGGACGTGCTATTGACGTGTCATTTCCCGTTATTTTGTCTTTCTCAGGAAAAGGGGGTGAAGTGTAGTTCAGGTGAGGTTTATGAATAACGATTAGGTACGTAGGTAGGTAGATAATTTAGAATCAGTGTCAGGATTACCTGTATCATCTGATTATCTATCTATTGGTAGAGACCAAGTTATTCATCTCCTGATTCAGTTAGGTGAAAACCGAAATTTAACGTGTTGCGAGGTGCACAGATTACGCCTACAGAGAGCATGCAAGTCACTTACTTCAATTTCCATTCTCAGAGTGATCTGGATTAAAAATTATATACTGGATGTGTATGATATTTCGAGAGAATAGGTACGAGTTTAGACTGGCTAGATCAGCCCCAGGAAACAGCCCCTACCATTGTATAATACCAGACGTCGAGTGCCTGTTAGTAGTAGCGGATCTAATATCGTGTATTTTGCTAGGGCTAGACTGCCACTCCCTGGGACGCCATTGCATCTTAATCTACTCTTTAGTGGCGCAGACTAGACAAAGCTCGTGGTTATGCTTATGGGTAGCCCGCAGCGACAGGAGCCCATCAGAGTCTATCCACCATTCAACTTTACTAGGTTTAGGATACTCGCTTGTCTCAACTCTATTCATCTCAAAATCGAGATTCCAGCCATGTGCTATACAGGTATCGTAGAATACTTCCATGACTCGCGAATTAGCAGATTTTGCAGTGTTATACGTCCCCTCAACTTCTAACTCTACGTCCCCAATATGAAGCTCTTCGTGATTTTCAACATTTTCGTATCTGTTGATAGTGGAATTCGTGACAGTATATACAACACACAGGTCGTCACTGAGTGGTGACGGGGCGGGGCTATCGCAGCGTTTTGCCCATAACTGTGGAATACCAAGTTCTTCGATCATCTCTCGAGGAAAAGCAGCCGCGATATCCGTACGGGAAATATCCATTTCGTCAGATGTCGCTTTATCTTCTCTAGATTCAAGTTCGACATGGTTGCTAGTGGCATCTTTCATTTCAACATCGTCTTCAGTAGCATCAGGTTTCGTACGCTTCTGTGGTCCATCAGCCCAGTAGATTTCGTTTGGAAATTTATTTAGCTGGTCCATTTTGCGCTTCGACATAGTGATTGTCTTGATAGTCGAAGAGGAAGGTAGAATATATGAGAAAGGGGTTTTACTAGAAGGTTCTTGATGTAGATGGAAAGGTTTTGGAGTCTGGGTCACGCACCTAAATTATATGTGTTTCATGCAGCAGTCATTACTCGCACCTTCTTCACTTGTACGTGTACATATGTGCCTTCCATCATACCTATGAGGTTGGATGATTAAGAGAGAAGTTTCGGTGATTTGGCAGGGGGAAGGTCTTAGGAAAAGGAAAGAAGAATGACATGATCTGTACCTCTTGTGTAACTTGCCATACCAGCATATCTGATGGTCTCCTGATCATGTCAAATCTAAAATCATCTTAAAGGTAGACGTCTATGTAAGAGTCAAGAGCTGGGTCGTAAAATTTAAACTAGCTTACTACCCCGTCCTGCTACGCTAACGTTGAACTAAAATATAAGGCCTAAGCAAATCTTTATGATTGAACACTCTATTCATTCATTCATTATATACTACACGCATAATTAAGGGCCTAGGTAGGCTATAGCCGTCTCTCCTATTGACCTACAGCCCCCGCAGCCCACTGTCCGAAATCTGGGGCGTCCGGCTGCGCAAACAAACCACCTCCTTGCTGTCCCTGCGCCTGTTGCTGCTGTTGTACACCACCTCCTCCTTGCTGACCTTGTCTTGCAGCCTCGGCCTCAGCCTCGGCGTGCGCCTGCTGTCTGCGCGCGCGGTAGTACATGAGGATGATTATAGCGCCGACCAGTCCAAGAATGATCAAACTTTCGACCACAGCGTCTACGTCCTCGAGGCCGTCATTCAGGGGTTCCCCATCGCTGCCTGTGATCATGCCCTCGTCGAAGGCTTCGTACCCCTCCTCGTAGTAAATATCTTCCTGGAGGAAGTTGGCGATCCACTCGCTGAGAGACCAGTCCTTTCTGGGCGCTGTTCGGATATACGTGTTAGTCTACATGTAGACGGCGAGAGAGAGGAAGTAAGAAAACGAATAATACTTACAAGGTTCGTCTTGTATTGAGTTGATCCGGCCATGGGTGAACGTATTCCAAGCACTGCGCGCTCGGAGTTTAAGGAGGCTTAAGGTCACCGGCAGGTAGGCTTCTTCATTAGCCTCGAGGGCTTGGTCGTAGTATCTCTTAGCAAGGTGAAAGTCCTGCGTTAAACCAACTCCGTTCTCGTGCATCCAGCCAAGGTTGTAGAGGGCTTGCGCGCTTTGGAAGTACTCCGATGCACCACCATAGCACTGAGCGGCTTTGTCAAATGCTGTTTCAGTACCGATACCATCTAGATAATAATCGCCCATTTTAACAAGTGAATCGATGTTGGATTGTATAGCCGATCTGGTCCAGTAGATCAGAGCCAGAGCAGAATTCTGAAGCAGGTTAGGCTTTGCCGGCTGGCGGTGTAGCCATGGTGGTAGGGGTAGTCGTGACTGGGACGGGTCTAGCATAAAAGCGACATTGTTCTGCGCCTTTTCGTATCCTTGCTCCGCAGCAATAAGATAATCGAGGAAGGCAAGCTCGTAGTCACCTTCTTCGTAAGCCTGGTTAGCTTCCGCCCAAGATGATACTAGAGGCTCTGCCCTCTCGGCGACGCTCTTATAATATACCATAGCCATGCCACACGTTTTGTCTCTCCCAACCCCGTGATGCATCATCTCGGCTAGATAGTACTGCGCCTCAATATTGGCCCACCGAGCAGCCGCTTCGAAGTAAGAGTTGGCAATTTTCAGGTCGTCAGGAGTGCCCTGGTCGAGGTGGAGAGCCCCCAGGGCCACGTGAGAAAGGCTAAAGTCCTGGTCTGCTGAAGCCTTAAAAAGCTCCGTGGCCTTAGAAACATTCTTAGGGATACCAAGGCCGTGAAGATTCATAATACCCAAGCCCCATTGGGACTGGGCATCGCCATGTTTAATTCCGCGCTCGAACCATCCCCTGGCCAGCTTAAAATCTTGTCTGACTCCCTCTCCACGCAACCACATCCGACCGATGTAGCCGGCAGACTTACTGGCATATTTCTCCAATTGAGGCTTGGGTTGGTCAACGGGACGGCCATCTTTGGTGCGCCAATACATCGTTGTTACAGCGGCAAAGTATCGTCGAGCTAGATCGACGTTTCTTTCGAGACCCCGCTGCCCTTCATAATAAAGTCTCCCTAAATTGAACGAGGCCTTAAAATCGCCCTTCTGGGACATTAAATCAAGGTATTCAATGACGTCGTCGATGGCGGCGTAGGCGTGAGAACTGGGGTCAGCCTTCAGAGCGTTGATGCCGGAACTTACAACGCTGGCCCCCTCGCCATACACACCACCTACATCGTCAGATAGCCGATGCGCTTCCGGTGTGAGGGCCATTCCACCAGGTGGTCCTGATCGGAACCAAACCATGGCCTTGTCCGCCACCCTCTTGTAATACTTGCAAGCCATCTCGCAACTCTTAGGTACACCAACACCGCTAACATGACGGGCCGCGAGGGTCATTTCCGACCTCGTATGCCCCGCATCGGCGGCAAATGTATGGTATAGAAGAGCCTTCGATTGATCCCGATCTACCGCATCCCCCAGTCCTGTCGCATATATCAACCCCACCATATACTGCGCGGAACTGTTCCCATACGAAGCCAGTCGGTAGTAGTGATCGAACGCGGTCTTGAAATTTCTCGGGTGGGAATAATTTCCGAAGAAGTTGAACTGCGCTAGTAGGTAAATCGCATCTGTGTTATTCTGATCGGCCGATTGCTGTAGAAGCTTGACACCTTCGAGGAGGGGACCGGTGATAACTGGTGGCGCATGTTCTTGGGGAGGAGCGCTAACTCGTAGGCTCGGTAAGATCTTTGGTAAATAATGGAATATTATCCCAAAAACGCTGGTTGGCTTTTTTGTTTTTCTGTGTAAATAAGGTGTTTTAATCTTTCGAAATTCGGTCATCGCCTCATGGACAAGCTCCCATCCTATTCCACGTTAGATCCCCGCCGCTCGTTCCAGAATCATATAGTTACGGCGCCTTACCGCTTTGGTAGGGGGTCCAAGCATGTTGCTCGCCTTGAACTACATCGGTATCGGCGGCTTGTTGAAGATTTGCGGTCGTAGTATCATCCTCTAATACTTGTTGTTCGGCGGCGGATGTAAAGGCGATAACCTGCAAAAGCACTATTCGAAGCAGGGATTAGCGCACATAGCTTACAGAGATATTAGATTTATAAGGTAAAACTTACGGAGCGCTGAGACGAACCAACGCCTCATGGTAGATATTCTGCTAAGAGCAAGGTTTTAAATGCTGTATTAATATCATGATCTCCAAGGAGGTAATCATTAAGTGTTGTGTTTGTGGATAAGTTGTCGTATGAAAGGAAGTCGTTCGGGGCTTAGAACTTACAAGCTGTCCAGATCGATCGGTACAAACAATGGTACAACTTGCATACGTTGAGAAGCGACGGGTCTCCGTCTAGCTTGGCTAAGAGATGAATTTGCCTCCGATTGGTCAATGTTGCGCCACAACCTGTGGAGCTATAGCTACTTAGTTACCTAAGGTAAAAGTTTCAGTATCGGATCTTATCTTCATAAGGCTGAATTAGTGCGAATATCTATATTTCACAGATGACATGAGCATGCTAAAGCAAAACAAGGTTCAAAAGTCAAGGTTCAAAAAGCATTTCATCTAGTTTGCTAGCACTAGATTATATACAACTGACCTCCGCAACTCATTAATCATTAGGTACTTCAGGAACAAATAACCTGAATTTAGGCGGTCTACTAAATACTAAAACCTCTTAGTAGAGGTAAGAAGAAACGCCATGTATCCTCTTAATTGCGTAGACGGATACAGGATACCACTTCGTGAGGAAGTCTACGTTCTCGACATCATCCCCCTCACAGCAGGTCCGGCAACTATCTCCTCGGATCAGAAGCTATCCTTGTTTAATCCCACAAGTCTAAAAGCAGGACCCCAGCTCAATCTTCTAACGCGACACGGCAACATCACTTGTGCCAAGGCATATGACGCAGGGAGCGCTATAGTGTGTACGGCGGGCGAGGATGGCAGCGTATCGATGTGGGATCTAAGGCAGGATGCGCGACAGGCTGAGGTAGCAAGACTAACAGGTTCGTTCATCGCGGTAGATTGGTAGCCGTGTACTTGTATTTTATAGACGCAATGCTGAGGATTTATATAGATAATCGAGTCTCCGTATTGTCTTTAGCATGCTCAAGTGCTGGCTTCTCAGTTACAGCTGGAACCGAACTGCAGGATCACCAAGCATCCATATTAATATGGTGAGTGTGCCGGATGAGTGTCGTAATTCTTTGTTGTAATATGCTTATACCTGGATGTTTAGGGATGTTCGCTCAACTCCCACCCCAAAGCTTCACTATAAGGAAGTCCACAGCGACGATGTGACAGAGGTTTGCTCTACGTGGTACGAATGGTCGATACCCAACACTAACGCAACTTAGTTGAATTTCCATCCTAATGACCACAACATTCTCCTGTCAGGATCGACAGATGGTCTTGTAAATATCTGTGATACAAGAATCACTGATGAGGACGAGGTTATAATCCAGACCTTCAATCACGATGCCTCCATCCACCACGCAGGGTTCCTGAACGATACTGAAGTATACGCATTGTCCCACGATGAGAAGCTAGCGCTTTATGATGTTGCCGAAACCCACGAAAATGGAGCAGCAACAACTGATTTTGGAGATATGCGAGAGGTCCTTGGCTGCCAGTATATTGCCAACGTCACTGCGAAGTCGAATGGGGCCGGAGCCGTGATTGGCGCTGGTGCACACGAGTAAGTTCAGCCTGTACCAAAATGGCTCTTGTATCCGCGCTAACCCTAGGACATGTGCAGCCAACAAGCATTCCAGTTGATCCACTTGACAAAAGGCCAAGAGTGGAATCTAGATCGAGATAATAGTGTCAGCCTACCCGGGGCCCATTCTTCGGAAATTGTCCGTAGTTTCTGCTTCTACGACGAGGCGCAGACGGTCTTTAGCGCCGGCGAGGACGGATTTATCAAAGCATGGAAGCCGAACGCATAATCCAATAATTTCGTCCATCCCTCTCAAGAGTATTTGTCGTGCTTGTTCTTGGACTTTAGATCTAGTAGCTGCTCGTAGTAATCGCCCTCCCTTCTCGCTCTCTTCAGATTTCTAACTTCATCCTCGTTGAGTCGCCTACCCACAGCATCCTCAAGCTCCTTTCGACTAATCCTTTCCTTCGCCTTTTCCTCCTTCGTTGCCTTAAGTCGAGGTTTGAAGCGCGCTTGCATGCGAATCCTTAATGTAGTATCGAAGCTTATTTCTGTAGCATCTCCACGAACCTCAGGTGTGCCGTTTGCCTTCGTAGGCTCCTTGATAGTTAAGAAAGTTTCACTTTGCGACTGGATCTGGAATGTACCCGGCGTCTCGGAGGTCGGAATCACGGACCACGTTTCAAGCGGCGATATAGCTTCGGATATCGCACTAAGGATGCCATATTTGTCGCAGCTGAGGTACCTAGACAGCAGCACATTACATTAGCGATTGAAAAACAAACAAAAGCAGCAGGAATAAGCACATACTTTCCATAACGGCCTTTAAACCTAAAGTTCTCGGTGCCGTAGATCTTATTTGCAACCCAAACCTGGCGCACGTCGTGGGGTTCGGCGCTGGTAGGATTCGCGTCGATGATGTTCACGATGGGGTCGGTGAAGATCTTGCCATTGGCATCGCAAGCCAGGCAGGTCGGAGGTTCTGTTGGAAGTACAATCATGACCGGACCTTGAACATCTCCGACGGCATCAGCTGATACCCAGCTATCATCGTTTTCTGCACCCTCGGCTGTCGTGGCGACTGCAAGACTGCTAGAACCTGCTTCTTCAGCTGACGGGTCTGCTTCAGTACGCTTTCTTTTCTTGGGCTTCTTATCGCCCTTAAAAGATAGTGGTTTGACCATGTTGGTATCACCTGATCTCCAATTACTTTCTGGTGCGTATTGGCGATGTATAGGTGGAAAAACGAGATAGGTTGTTGATGTTTAGGTGTATGTGATTGTTTGGATAAAAGGGAGCTCCGATAAGAAAAGCACTGGCGTCACTCGGTACAAAGTACCTAAGTACATTGGCTTATTAAAATAAAACGGCCGCCAAACTCTCCAGAGTTATATTTCATTAATTACAGAATGTTAAACACTCAATTCAACTCTTTAGCATTTCCAACATTCTGTTTATTTTCTTGTGGCATAATCGTCGAATCGTTTACTATCCCCTAATACAGATACTCTAGGAACTATCGCTAAGTATTTAACGGGAAGCTCCTATGATAGCTCGGAATGCGCCGGTGGTCAGGCAAGTATTATTGGTGAAATGCCGACGGTATCCTTAGGGCGAAGCCGTAAAAAGATATCGAAACACTTTTAATATTCTTGGATGTCTACAAATCTACCCAGCTCAGCTTCGGTTTCTGCAGAGTTATCCTAAATTAACCGTGGTTTTCATACTCTTTAAAACTTCCCTAACGACTAAATATGGCGACAGCACAACCGGTTGTCATATCATTAGCCGATCTCAAGAGTGGTAAGCGTTGCAGTATAAAACTACCCAGAGAGAGTGTCCGTTGCTCATCATCTAGGAAACATCTCTTTTGAAACGCTGCAAGAAGCCTTTGGCCCGGAGTCGCTAGGAATTCTTGTCGTCAAAGATGTCCCGGCAGAGTTTCCAGGGTTAAGACACCAGCTGCTGTCATATGCCTCGTACATGGGCAACTTACCAGAGGCAGACTTTGGTACGTTAGGAACGAATAGATTGTAGGTATTCTCAGTCGCTCGGAAGGTTTCTTACAGAATTTTAGATAAGTTCACAAACGAGGCTGCCAAGTATTTAGTAGGGTGGTCTAAAGGTAGAGAAAAACTTAAGGACGGAGGGGCCGACGAATACAAGGGCTCCTTTTATGCCAACTGCGCATTTTACGTAGACCCGTCTTTAGAGTCCGCGAAACCGACGGAACAGTTTCCTCTAAAAGAGTTCCCCGAGTATTTGGCGCCAAACTCATGGCCACCCAGCGAGATGCTGCCTGGTTTCAAGCCTACGATGGAACAGATGTGTAGACTCATAATCGACACAGCTGTATTAGTTGCGCGGGCTTGTGATAGGTTTGCCGAAAAAGAAATCCCAGGGTACCCTTCAGCTTACTTGGAGAAGGTAGTCAAGTCTTCCTCCACGACGAAAGCTAGACTCCTACACTACTACCCGATGCCTGAAGAGGCCATGGTAAAGAGCCAAGAAGAGGATAATTGGTGTGCAGTTCACAAGGACCACGGCTGCTTGACGGGCCTAACGTCCGCTATGTTCGTTGACGAGCTAAAGACAAACGCAAAGGTCCCCAGTTCCAGCGGGAAAGTACCAGACTTGCTACCGACATTGGAGGAATTGCCCGCATCGCCGGATCCACAAGCTGGACTCTGGATTAAAGACAGAAAGGGTGTGCCGGTCCAAGTCAAAATCCCTCGGGATTGTATCGCCTTTCAGACCGGCGAGGCACTTGAAAGAATTACCCGGGGCAAGTTTAAGGCTGTGGAGCACTCAGTAAGGGGAGCGTACGCGAAAGGTGTTGCTCGAAATACACTAGCCGTCTTCACACAGCCAAATCTCGAAGATGAAGTTGACTTGGATCAGCACATCACGTTTGGAGAATTTGCTAGAGGCATTATAGCGAAGAATACCGTTTAAGTAGCAAATTTCGATTGCCCCAATAGCAACTTTTTATTGAAATGGTTAAGAACTTTTATGTTTTGTTCGGTGTGAGTAAATGATAAAATTACAGCTTACTCCAGTCGTATGCCAGTGTTTGAAATTGTACATTCACATGCCTCGGTGAGCTCTAATACTAAACTTATACATCACCTCCCTTACTTTACCAATATTAGTAAGTGTCTTGCATAGGGGTAGCTATGCTGCAGTTACCCCGCTATACTAGAGTTATCACAACATATGGCGTCACTGAATGCATTTCCTATTATTCGGCATCTCTCCGTCCTAAAGCATCAACTACTTAACTCGGCCCCGTCACTTATCAGTCTCCGATGCGTCTAGCTCGGAGTTTCTCCCCTCTTACTTATAATAAAACCCAATTCTATCCCTCCAAACAGCTTCTGGCTACATTTACTTCTTCAAGCTTTCGCCAATTCTCAAGTACAAAATCAACCATGGCATTAAACCCCAAATTCGCTGGTCAACGATTGCTCTTCGGACAACCTTCCTCCACCACAACCGGCGTGCCCCCGGCCGTCCACACCCTCGAGCTGTTCCTCGACTACGTGTGTCCGTTCTCAGCCAAGCAGTTCAAGACATTCTATCATTCGGTCGTGCCCCTCATCAAGGAAAACCCCAAGTGGGCCAGCAGCCTGCAGATCATCTTCCGGCAGCAGATCCAGCCCTGGCACCCGTCGTCGACGTTGGTGCATGAGGCAGGCGTCGCCGTATTACAACTCGCACCCGATCGGTACTGGGACTTTAGCGACGCCTTATTTAAGGCGCAACTAGAGTATTTCGATGAGCCCGTCGTCAATGAGCTCCGCAACGATACCTATCGCCGACTAGCCAAGCTAGCTGCAACGGTCGGCATTGACGAGCAGGCGCTGTACAACTTGCTTGTCATCCCGGACAAGGTCCCGGAGGGTAGTATTGGCAATACCGGAAATAAGGTCACCAACGATTTGAAACTGCAGATCCGGTACGGAAGACTGGTAGGAGTGCACGTCAGCCCCACTGTTATCTACGACGGCATTGTCGCAAATGATATTAGTTCGTCGTGGACTAAGGAGCAGTGGCAGGAGTGGTTGGCTAAGAGTCTCGGTTGAAGAAAACATAAATACATGGCATAAATACAGACAAGTATGAGTTCCGTATGAACTAGGGACTACCTAGCATAACGAGGTACTCGCAGAATATAATAATCATATCATCATACGTCCCAGTTTCCATTAGATGTGTAACATATGTATGTAGTAATGAGTCAAATTGAATCACCATTATATCAAATAGTCTTAAATAGTATCGCGTCGACGACGATAATAAGTACAGTGAAAATTCCAAAATTATAGCTAGAGCCACCTGGCAACAACTGCCAAATGCCGCTTCAGCTGGCATAAATCGCGTAAATCTTAATGAGCTTCACTTCACTTAGACACCACCAAGAGCTATAAGAGCAGCTTCACATCGAAGCCTCTCAATCATGTTAATCCTCGGAGCCATAAGAAGGGCTCAACGGATTCCATTGAGATGCAGTACTACCAACTTCCAAAATGTAGCCCCCCGTAATCTTTCGCCCGTAAGGCAGAATTTTCGGATCCTGGGTATGAGATTGGAGACGACTGCAACAAACACGACGAGGGCAGCTAAAGCAAACGCCACGGCTAGTCCCAAACCGCCAACACCCAGATTCGGTCAGTCTCTCTATATTAGACTGTTTTCTAATGTACTAACTACTCCATAGCTTTCCCAGAGAACCTCTGCGTGTACCACGCCGGCACAGGCCGGATAACCTTCCTAGCCTGCCTGAAGATCTCAACACTCTTCATCTTCGCCTTCTTCAGCTTCGTCGTGACCCCAGCGTACTTCGACCGGGAAGGCTTATCGCCCACCGTGCTCCGCAGTATGCCCCCTTATTACCCAATGCCCGTTCAATCCCGTCCATACCTTACTAACCCCAAACCACAGCAACCCTCTCCGCCATCATCCCCCTAGTCTTCGTAGCATACACCACCTCCCCCTTCGTGTCCTTCATCCACATGCGCCTACCGCCCGTAGCGCGGCAGTCGGAGGACATGCTGCGGCGCTTCGCACGTGCGATCCCCGCAAACACGGAGCTCGACATCACGACCATGAGCTTCATCGCCAAGCCGCGCGTGAGCCGCGTCAAGCTGTCGGACCTGCGCCCTGTGTCCCGAAGGTTCGGTATCGTTAACCTCGCCCGGGACACTGCTGCTGAGAATGCCGCGAGGAAGTGGTACCGGTTCCGCGCTGTGGGCGATTTCAACGCCCAGGGTAACACCGCGACGCGCGCCCCATGGGTCTGGGAGAGCATCTTGAACGCTATGCAAAAGCCTCGGGCGTGATTTACGAGTCTTCCGCTATTCATAAGCTTTGATATGCATATAATTTCGGATGTTACCTCGCTCTCTACGGTAAGTAGTATCGGGTGGGCTAATTTGGCCTCTCCGAAGCGCCCTACGGTAATGACTATAATATACTAAGAGCCACGTTTCTCACCTGGTTCTTAGGTCATTGGCCATATCATATAATGTATGACAGCTTCTAGCATAGCTAAGCAAATCAATTAGGGTGCATAGGGTTTAATCAAGCCTATCAAAAATACACTCATACTAAGAGAGGTAACACTCGACGCAATCTCCCACAACTACCATAATCCTGATAGAACGAAATTTATAACACGCTGAAAATGTCATTAAGAAGCATTCTACCCATCTAATTTTCATATATCGTCGATATTCAACGTTACATATTTGTATTCTAAACATGAACATGCCAATTATCCATAACACAATATATTATGAAGTGGCTACTTTCTAACCACATACTCCGTCACTATGATAAAGATTTCTCCCATAACCATGAATGTTTGGAAGAAGAAAAGCTATCTTCCTGTCGGTATCTGATTTTTACACTGAATACCCTGACACACATCCAAGGCACTAGAGATGGCTGAATACCAAGGCAGAGCCCGTGATAGACGCACATGGATCGGATCACATACATGATAACATCAAGCTTGTGTCATCTCGAGGTATCTTAACAATGAATAATATAAAACTTCATCCGCATCTAGGACTTGCGGTACTCGTAAATAGACGGCGTAGTGTCTCCATGTCTACTGCACCACCGGCTGCTTGTACGTGCTCATAAATATTTTAGCTCTCTGCGTATCTCTTGCGACTTCTCCCGAGACGTGTCTTGCTTGAGGATATCGCACAGCTTAATGAAGACATCCGTGCCTCGCGCTCCTTCAATGGTGAGATAGACTGAGCTGGTCTATAACAATCGTTTCTTACGCATATCCGGGGAACTTCTCTAGATCATCAACCACGCTATTCACAGCAGTTTAAATCCGAATTGGCCTCAAAATTTTGTCGGAGTCCCCAGCATAGGGATCCTTCCAAACCTGTGAGAATGTGACCGAACTCTAACTGGAGTCTATCGTGGCTACGAGAACCGCTAGTGCCGTCGATGTTGTCAATTTCTCCCCTGTACCGAAGGGCTCCGGGCTCTATCAAGCGCTACTGGGGATAAAGGGCGAATGAGGCTACATTAAAGCCGTGGACTATACACGCCCATAAGTGCTCCTATTATGTCTGTCGCTACCGACGCTGTATGGGGAAAGCCAGGCAGTGGTTGCAAATGTATTAAACAGCGTATGCTTATGTTATTAGATTGTAAGCCCTTTTAACTTTGAGAGCTCCCCGTTCATGCCAAGTTTAGCTATGCCAAAACTGCTTGGAGATAGAAGCATAGATCGTTGCGAAGTAGGCGAATGTAGAATACGAGCGGGATAATAGACACCAGGAAGAATGATTTAAGGTGCAACGGTCGTCGTATGAATGAACAGGTTGGACAGTTTATTTAACAGTCTTCCTTCGCTCGTACAGTTGTTCGCGTAGTGAATTTTTCAGTAAACGTTCGAAATAATCAGTAGTGGCATTCGTGATTTCCCTTTTCCTGAGGAGTTGTTGGCCGTTAAAAGATTATTGCCTGGGTATCGTACATGTTGATTGACAACAACTCGTATTATTGTTTGCGGTTAGGTAGTTGCCTTGTAAGGCCATGTCTATGATCTGAACGAAGTTGTATTCCTAAGATAGAAGGTCTACTAGCTTAAGTAGATCGCTTCATTGAAAAGGCTCATTATAGATTGGCGCCAACGCACAGTGTAGGTGCTAAGATGCGTAATAGGAGCTACTTCGAGACAGCTGTCCTGACATTGCTTCAGATAGGTTTATAGTTCTCTGCGCGAAACAATGCCGTGTTCGTATCATCAGGCTCCATCGTGACTGTAGAGTTTGAGATAAAACTAGACTTTACTAAGCGCTCAAGACGCCCACGACGGCGTTTTAGGATTTGAATAAATGCTGTCGTATATGTAGATGAAGTGTTAATTGAATAGTTGTATTAGCTACTAAGTAGTTGTAGAAGTTGGAGTTTGGAGAGGCTGTTGAATTTAAGGATGTGGAAGAGAAATGAAATACAGAGGAGAAAAAGGTTGGTTGGAAAAGAGATTGAATTCTTATGACCTCTCCTCTGTTTTATAAAGTTTGTTTAGGTACCTAATGTTTACCTGTAACAAATTAGAAGGAAGTGCCTTCCTAACATTATGTTTGAAAAGTAACTCTAGGAAGTACCTAACAAATAGATCCCAAATTGCTTCGCAGTTTCCAGGTGTGGTGCATAATGATTTATTTAGAAAGTGCAACTTCGACTGTTGTACTTTGCACTTGCCTAGGTTATCTGTTTGAGAGCCAATTTCTCATAGCAACGACATTACCTAATAGTATGTACATATAGGCACTAATCTAAACTATAGGGGTTATTTAGAGCAATATCTTACTTGTTATTAGGCAAGTTATTTTTCTCTTCTCGAATTACTTAGGTACTTGTCTATTGGAGATATCCTGAAGGTAACAAAGTTGTGATGAGACTTAACTGGTCAACCCGGGTAGTATTTTCAATCTCTAAGTTACTACTTACATGCCTTCTCAACTCTACCTTAATAGCAGTCTGAATATAATAGAAAAAACAAACAATCTCTTCTCTAAAATTCAAGGATCTTATAAAAAGGCAGGTAGTTTCATCAAAGGTTATACCTATTTGATATTAAGATTCCTATTTAGATTGTTAAATATACTTTCTATGGAGGTTTGATCCAACCACATGAACTAACATAGAGTTTACCTGTGCAATGTAACTATTGTGTAATTTGGAGAAGGTGGGGTAAGAATTGGGGGAGTTCGTAGGCGATATCGCTGCTGACCCTCTTTTTATCTAATTTTCGTCATCTCTGTCATACGGCATACGGATACAGCAGGAATACAGAAGCTTACCTACTAAAGACCAGGTGCAGACCTAGGTCTCTAGGAATGCATTATGTGTTCCGACGCATTAGTCTATACTCTTTCTCTCCACATATAAGAAAGAGTGCGATATCGATTTATTGCCGCACAATGGCTACACAAGGTGGTAGAACATACAACGTAACTAGCCCATACCCTAGTCCAACCCCGTGGGGATACGGATGAAAGCTGACCATATATTCCCTCAGGACGCTATCGATGCGCTGAATTCCCTTCAAACTCCGTATGCTATCGTCGAGGCCCGCCGCAAGGCTGGCATCCGCCCAGATGCCGCCTCCATCGCCGAAATGCATGAGTACTTGCGACGCATTGGCTACACTTCCTCCGACCTCGACCGGTTGAATGTTCTGCACGTCGCGGGTACTAAGGGCAAAGGAAGTACGTGCGCATTTGCAGCATCCATCCTCTTGCACTATCAGCGAGCACATACAGTACCTCGTAGGATTGGCTTATTTACGAGTCCACACTTGATTGCTGTGCGCGAACGAATTAGGATCAACGACGTTCCTGTCAGCGAGGACGTCTTCGCTCATTACTTTTTCGAGGTATGGGACAAGCTTGGGGAAGCTGAAGAACGCGATGGCCAGAGGGTAATAGACCAGAGGCTTGACATCCCCATGCCTACGAGACCGGTCTATTCCCGTTATTTAACACTAATGAGCTATCATTTATTCCTCCAAGAGAATATTGATGTTGCTGTATATGAGACAGGTATTGGTGGCGAGTTCGATGCGACGAACATCGTAGCACACCCTTTGGCATCTGGTATTAGCACTCTGGGTATAGATCACGTCTTTGCACTCGGGGAAACGATAGAGAAGATTGCTTGGCATAAGGCCGGTATCATGAAGCCGGGCAGTGCTGCTTTCACTATTGAGCAAGTACCCGAAGCCTCCATCGTACTTCAGGAAAGAGCCAAAGAAAAAGGCGTGCCGCTGAAGGTTTTGGATGTCGACCCCAGACTGAAGGACGTTAAAGTCCGACCAGATGCGCTATTCCAGAAAAAGAATGCCAGCTTGGGAGTCGCCCTAGCGGAAGCCGCATTGCAAAAAATCGACCCTAACTTCACACCAAATTCGTCGGCTTTAAGTAAAGAATTCGTTGACGGTCTTGAAAAAGTTGTATGGAGGGGTAGATGCGAAGTCAAGGCCGAGGGGCCAATCATCTGGCATGTTGACGGAGCACATACCGTAGATAGTCTCAAGATGGCGACAAGATGGTTTGCAGGTGAGTGCGCGAAGCGAACTGGCCCGAAAGCCTTGATTTTCAACCAGCAAGGACGTGACGAAGCCATCCACTTCCTCGAGGGCATAGTCTCTGCTCTCAGAGCCCAGGGGCAAGGGACGTTCGAGCACGTCGTCTTTTGCACAAACGTAACTTACGCTAGCACTGGATATAAGCGGGACTTTGTGAACCACCAATATGACCCCGTAGCCATCAAAGCTCTAACAGCGCAGCGCGCCTTTGCGGAGAAATGGTCCTTATTAGACCCGACGGCAAAGATAACTGTCGTGCCGACGATAGAAGAGGCGATCGATTATGTCCGGGATCTCAGCAAGACACCCTTAGGCGAAAATGAAACAATACAAGCTTTCATTACAGGTAGTTTGCATCTGGTGGGCGGTGCTTTGGGCATATTAGAAGGCGCTGATGCCTTGTGACCGGCAACGGTCGATTTTCTATATGGGTTGGTTATGTAAAAGGGCTCTAGTTTCAACGAGAGATGGGTATACCCTAGAAAAATAGATCGGGATCTACGGCGGCTCAACCCGTATAGAGGAGAATCATACAAAGGTTTCATTGAGTATTATATCGGCTAGTTATAACTATTTGAGCAACATCGAAGATTTAAGCAACTGAAATTCTGAAAATGTATATTTATGGCCTATTGTTGAAAGTACAGCTGTTACGGCGTCTACGATTTAGTCCTGAGACCCATAATCTATTGCCTCTTAAACTCCGTTTTCATTATGTCCAAGTCACCAGAACCTGTCTTACCTACCTACCTACGTATCAAGCTTACCTGCCTAGATGAGTGATTCATAACTCTAAATCTGGTTCTAATGTCCTAAGCAAGGCGCCCACAAGATGGAAGCTCCCGGTAGCCAGAACAACGACTTTGAGGCCGTCACAAAGTTCTGTAGCTTTTATCTTCCCGACTGCTTCATCAACGCTTTCTACGACAGCAGTCTCCGTCCGTGGAGACAGCTTCTCCATGGCATCTGCGGCAGCTTGCTGGACAGCTAAGTCCCGCTCGGACTCCTCGGCTGTTCTACGTTGTAGATCGTTCCGAGTGAATATGGCGTAGTCGAAGATAGTGCCCTCGGGAACCCCTGACTCTTTTTCAATTCCCCTGTGCAGACTGTTTAGAAGACTTGCTACATCGCGTTCTTGCTGGTTGAATAGCAAGACCACTTTCGCGTCACCAGCTAAAGCTTTGCGTTTCCCCGAAAACCACTTGGCTACTTCCTCCAGGCTTTCAGCGGTGTGTGCTCCGTCGATAAGCCATGTGAAGTCACCGTATTCTCTTGTTTCAGAACGTCCTTGGAGTCTTGCTAACCGTAAACCATCGGAGAAGCGTTCAGTTAGAGCTGTCAACTTCTCCTCTGGTGAGGTATCTGGGTTTCCATCCAGAACCCTTAGATGCTCGGCTGCAGCCTTCGCTGCTAACGCCTGGTTGTACTTCTGGAACTCGCCTTCAAGGCTACTTGCTTCAGCTCCTCGGATACCTCCCCATTTCTCAACTTCTTGGTCTTCTACACCCACTAACGTGGCGCTCTTCTCCGTAGCTCGTTCGCGTAACACACGCATAGTCTCTTCGCCCTCTCCGGACAGCAGTTTCCGAGTGAAGCATTTCCGTCCTGGCTTCATCACGCCCGCTTTGTTCCACGCAATCTCCGGTAGTGTGCCACCGAGCATACCCACGTGATCGATGCCCAGCTGCGAAATCACCGAAGCGGTCACGGCCTCAGCCGGCAACACGTTCGTAGAGTCGTACTCGCCACCAATGCCGCACTCCACTACTGCGCTCTTAACTCCCTCCCGCAAGAACGCATGAAAGGCTAGAATTGTTAAGAACCGGAAATAGAAAGGCTTTGTAGCCGGACCCTCGAGCTCTGCAATCGAGATATCCTTCCCCGAGTGCACTGCCTCATCCCGCGCGGTATTAGTAAGCGCATCCCACACCTCGAAGAAATACCTCGCAAACAACTCCCGACTAATCGGCCGCCCATCAAGCTGGATGCGCTCACGCACAGAGACCAGGTGCGGCGACGTGTACGTGCCAACCCTACCAGCGAGAGGCTCCCGCGTCAGGATGGAGGTTAGGTACGCGCACACAGAGCCTTTTCCTTTAGTCCCGGCGACGTGGACGCAGCGGAGCCGGGCGAGATCGTCCTGTGTTAGCCCCGCCCGGCCTAGCCAGGAAAGCATCTCGGGGATGGCAAGGGCATTGAGGTCCTTGGCGGAGGGGGCGGGAGATGATGCGGAGACGGGAGGGGTGAACAGGGATGTGACGGCGCGGTTTGACTGGATGGAGTCAAGGTGCGCGAGCGCCGCCTCGTATGTCCGCGCCATAGTTGAGGAGAGGCGCCGGGTAGTTGTGGTGATGTTGAGAGGAAAGAGAATGAGAGGTAAAGGTTTGAGTAAGCACGTTATGGATAGGCGTTGAATAGACGTTGAACAGAAAGCCATTAGCCAGTTAGTATTAGCAACGGGACCAAATTGATACGAGCATCTGCTACGACTTCATAAAGTACCTAGTACGATATGATAGCCTTAAGTTCCTCAAAGTCACGTTCTTACGTAGAAGGCAACATTTTACCTAATTTTACAGACTTTTACGTTTTTTATTTGGTTGTTTTCCGTACCGCTCTAAAACGGTTCCACTCAGTCGGCACTTACATAGGAGGTACCCTTATTAAGATACTTTATTTCTCTAAATAAATATGTGGCTGTTGAAAGTGAGCCGCAACTAAGGCGCATTCGGATTTGTCTTCCTATTCAGGTTACCTTGTGCATATATGTACTCATCATATAAGGTCGATCCCTTTGGGAATTCTTTTTTTCTTTTCCCGTTGCGATTCCAGAACCTCACCCGCGCAAAATTCGGACAACTCGGGCGTTTATCAATGCACCCTTATCTCTCGGGACACTAGAGTCATTTGAAGTTAATTGGTGGAATCTCCTATATCATTCCCAAAGAGTAAGGTGGATAAGCGTGTAAATACTACTACATAACGTACGTAATACCTGATGCAAGTCAGCACTTCGGGAGATACGAACAGCCGCAGAAAAATCAGCCGCAAAATCAATCTTAGGTAAGCCATCCACCCCCTTTTATTGCCTGGTGTTCTCACTTACTACGTCTCTCGTCAACACCCCGAAATAACGATCCAACTCCCTTTAGGGCTAAGGAAATATAATATTATGTGTATACCTAATCTAATGATATTACTGAATAAAGTAGCTAAAATGCTCTGATTAAATACTATTAGATGTGTTGGAATAGTTGATGTGGTTGTCAGTGAATTTATATATTGCTATTCACTAAATATATCTAGGAAATAATGTATCTACCCGGACATAATATTATATGAAATCTTTGCCATTTCCATAAAAGCGAATTCCTTTCGAGCTCTTCGTAGGGGACTATCCCTAGAAGTTTGTCGAGGTTCCTACTATTCCATTCAGCTTCTCCAATACCGGTCCAGACTTCATTCTTTTGATTCGCTTGATGACTACCATTTTTTCAATCAGATCCTTGCATTGCAACAAGACGGCGCGATGCGTTTCTATAGCATCGTTAGGAATCTCATTCAACTTGCGAACGAAAACTCTATTCAGTTCAAAGGTCGAGCCAAGGGGTAAACAGTTCGAACGTTGGCTTTTCTTATAGAAGAAATATGGATTGTTCTGTGGGAGACCGTCATTTTCGGTGTGACATGCTATCAAATCGGCCCGCAACTCCTGCATTTTCCCGAGGTTGGCGGCGAGCACCTCAGTAAATATGCAACCTAAGGACCATATATCACTCCTGCGTCCCATGTGCTGCTCATTCTGGTCATTAACTTCAGGTGGTTGATATGTCCCTCCTAGCTGCTTCGTCGTTGTAGATACTGTGTGTGTTACGCGTTGCTCGGGGGCCCACAAGAAGGTTCTTGCTCTCCTGACTTTTGAGATACCAAAATCTATAACTTTCCAAATCCCAACAGGATAAGGTGATTCTCCACCTCTAAATCCTATGATATTTTGGGGTTTCAGGTCAAGATGGCAATAGGTCATGCCATTCATTGTCGGATCATTTGATTCCGACATTCGATGCAAAAATTCAATCGCACCAGCAACCCCCGTTATTTGAACCAAGCAGTCCCTCATGAGAGAACAATCTCCAGGCACAGTATCAAGTAGTATGCGATCCAAATCTCCGAGCTGTGCATCCAGTGATAGGGATTGTATATGTTCATTATCGCTGGATTTTACCATGCAAATGCAAGTTGAAATTTGAATTTCGGTGGTCTCCTTATCCAGGGCACTTCGTAGTTTTTTGAGTATGTCGATCTCTGTTTGAGCCTCTGGGATACGCAGCCTTTTTCTCCAAACCCGAACTCTTGTTTCTGCAGGATTTAGTACCTAGGTATTTTAAGTTAATTTTCTTCTACAATTCAGTATAAGGACTCAAAACCTACTACGCCACTCTGTATAAGATGTCCATTAGCTATATCATAGGCAGCCACATCCGTTTTCCCATCATCTTCATGATATGGCATCCTCTGGTTTCTTTCCAACGTTATGTCTGTACCTGCTTTAAGAATGGGAGCAGTGAAATGCGCGCGTAGGGCCATGAATGGGTTCATGATATCTTCGTCACTGAGCCAGGCTAGGTCTTCATCGTCATCTGTAACTGTCGAAAGTTTCTTGTCGATCTCCTTCCTCCCTTTGACCCATTTAAAAACATTGTCACGCGTTTTATCCGACGGACTGCGAATAAAAGACAACAACGAAATGGTCCGTATCAGGTGCTCTGTTATAAAGCAGATGTCATCATCTGTTAATTGATGATCTCCTACCACATATTTGAAGTGACAATCATCCCAAATTCTTTTGAGGTCACCTATACCGAAGGCCCATGCCGGCTGCAGGGCTTTGATTCGTTCAGTTGGGTTCATGTTGGTGATCACGGAAATATACGCTCAAAACATGAGTGGTTGTATTGTATATGTTGATATTTTACTCTATATTTGTTAGAATATAGAGAGATTGTGAAGAGACTTAATTGGAGATATTCATAAAGACATTCATTAGTACTTATATACCCTTGCAACGCTACCCAGGTGATCCAGAGACACTAATAGGGAAATGGGTGATTTACGCCATATATTACTATAGCTCTTCGATACTATTCAGCTGACTTTAAATTGTTTCAGAGCCTGCTTCTCAACCTCGACATCCCTTTTCCCAAAGCGTACCATTCACCCTCCTTTTGAATTACTGCATATGCATGCAGTTTCTCGCTCGCTGCGCCTGTTGCTATCAACGGCCTATTCTTACTGAATAGGGGAATTTCGAACGATACATTCTGTTCATACGTTTTAGAATGTATTGTAGGCAGGAATAAGTGATGTATTGAAGTATCGTTCAAGACTAAATTGGTGAAGTGAATGCTGCATTGTCATAAGTGTACGTTACCATGCCACTTTTAAGTTTTAATACATTAATCACCCAATGAAACAGCTAACATGCTTTGGCTTATAAAAATATTAAAGGGGTACGTATTGAAGAAACTAAAGGAGACATAATTCCTATTTGAGCATATGAGGAACATGAAGAGGAACAGATAGGCATCGGCGAGCTGTTGCGTATAACTCCATTTCCAAACATCACATGGAGACAATTCCTGGATCGGAGCCCAACATTGCGAGCACAATCGGCCAGATAGATGGGGGTGTCATCACGCAGACAGAAAACAACTTTATCCAAGATAAAGAGGGACAAGCGAGAACCATAGTACCTATGTAGTTTAATACTATAACCCCGTTAGAAGTAAGTTAGTGTTTAAGTGTTAATTATCTTTGTTTTGTAAATATTTCTTTTTTAAATTAGATACGAACTATAATACCTAATATCTAATGTATTTTATGAAGTAACCATATCATTAGCTTATTTGACAGTTCATTTTTCACCTTTTACTCATATCCTCACAAAAGTGCTTGTAAACTAGTCCCTACAAAAACAACCATAACTGCCGCATACGCTGCTGTAGAAGCTAGCACATCCTTTCCACTTGCGTCAGTTGCAAATACCACCATGATAATCGCAAATATCGCCGTAGATATCGATGCCGCAGCCAGATTCCCGGCAATCGTCGGCTTAAGAGTCATAAATATCACCGGTGCAATCAGAGCTGTGCCCCCAAAGATAGCCATATGAAGTCGTGATCTAATTCTTTCTAGAATTCGCCTTTGGAACATCCTCCCCTTATCAAGCTCGCGGAATCCTAGGGGTCCAACCGAATATCGTAATATAGTACTAGGTTGACCGCTATACCCATTTAGCCACGATGGAATTTTCCAGGTAGTATTGTTTGTTCTCTTTATCACCTTAAATTCCTGCATTCCGCCAAGGAATTCATACGAGAGGTTCTCATCAAACTCGATGGTTTGCGATAACGTCTCGTAGTTCCGAACAGCATCCGCTAGATATCGTTAGCAGCTAGAGAATGAGCCAAGTGACTTCCAAGTCTCTGCATAGTATCATTTTCAGCTCACCATATCTCTGGACCAGTTCATCTATCTGCTTCCCCTCTTTCTGATCATCTTCCGTATCTGACTGAACCTCAAACTCTTCATTCTTAGGATTCATCATAGTATTCTGTTTCTTCACAAGCTCCGCTTGCAGTTTTGCAATGCGATAAAGCTGTAGTCCCCGAAAGCTTAATATAGCAACTCTTTGTACTTTATCCCCGTCAATCTGCTGGATTTGCTGTCGTAGGAGGGCATCATCTTTGGGGATACGGATAATCTCTTGTAATGGCCTTGGCATTCTACTCGCTGGAAGGGATGCTTCGACGTCACGATTTCTACAATCTATATAGGAATCCATGTATATGGTTTAGAATGAGCAGTTTACTCGAGGCCGTGGAACGTAAGGGGAAATAAGTAATTAGGCGTAGTGAATAGATAGGGGAGTAGGGGGTAATTATTATAGAATCCGAATGTAAGCAACCCCTCGTGGCAAGCTCATTATATCACTAATTGCCTTCGTAATAGGTATAATCGATTGTGTCAAAGGTACATAGTTAGGCTGATTACAAAAGTCTGATGCATACATCAAGAATTATATTTCTACGTATGCAGTAAAACTTCAGTCAAATAGAATCACCATACCATACTTCAGCCAGGCTGGAAGACATATCAGAAGGTTCTAATGTTTGAGAAAGAGGTTTGTCGTACTAAGTTGACTGGGCGACAAGAAAATATAGTTCATACACCTTGTTTTATATACAATAACAGTAATTCTGTTGATTGAGTTATATATAATACGAGTTATTATAATTGGTGTTTTTTCAATACCCGAAGTGGCAAGGCGCAGAAGCAGATCCCAGGGCTGCCCGAAGTGCCCGAAAATACCTACCTAGTTAATTTATCCAATACATAGGTATTTACGCCTCATTAATGTGGAGATGATTACTAGACGTTATTAAAAGTGCGGATTTCAGGGTTTAAGCGACATCACCTTTTTCATAAACGTGTTTCTTAACAACCACAGCGAGAAATAATTAAAATAAATTCTCTTAAAAGAAATGAGAAATTTCTATCAAGGAACGACAAAGTTATGCGAGATATAATGTTGAGCGTAATTTGCTAAACGATTGACGTCTTTCTGCTCAACTATTGCCGCCCCTCTCGATTGCCACATTCTTGTCGAGTATCTCTATCACTAAGGCCAAGCTCCCTAATAAATATATCGGCTGCTTTCTCGCCTATCGCAAAGGCTGTGTTTGCCGTATTGGCAGCTACGTTACATGGTGGAATACTTAAGTCTACAAGCTTTAGCCTATTGACTCTATAAACGCTCAGGTTCTCGTTTACAACGCCTCCTGCCTCAATAGGTGCCATCTTACATGTACCTAGAGAGTGCCAAGTGGTACCTATGTTTTTACGCAACCATTTCTCGATGACTGCGTTGTCCTCTGCGTTATATTCGATCAATCCTACGTTAGCGAGAGGATTGTTACTCAACTCGGTGCATGCTGCATTGGAGTCGGGGGCGAATTGGGGGTGTGCAGTAGCTACCTCGCCCCGATACATATCCATTCGACGCAATATTTCCCTTTGCTTTTTATAAATCCAGATGTGCTTTTTAATATCGATGTCATGAGCATCAGTAAAGAATCCAGTCTTGAAGTCTACTGGGTCATCTACACTTATGCCCGTAATATGTACGTGGCCACGAGAATACGGATATACAGTAAATGCTGTCAGAGAAGTGTACTGCCCTACTGGTACGCTACTCGGATCACCAGAGAATCTGCTTATAATCAGCATATGCATCTCTGGTAGGCGAGGCCGATTTCTTACCCGCTGACGAGAGCCATTAATGCTAGTGGCTTGTCTGGCTTAGCCTTAAAGTCTCGTTCCCATGCCGTTTGAAACTCAGGGCCAAGTTCTGCGACCTCCGCATCTGTTGGTCGGATCTTACAAGTGACATCCTGAGCATTCCAGCCAGCTCTGGGATCCTTGGTTTTAACAAGTTCTTCGACGCTGAGAGTACCCCGTATGATTGCGTCGGCTGTCTCTTCCGGTGCCAAGCTTGTCCTATATGGGTATGCGAGCAGATGGTGGTCTTGGTAATTGTTGCCAACTCCAGGAAGATCAGATATGACCGGGATACCAACTCGGTTCAGGATTTCCGGACTACCTATGCCAGATCTCTCCAGTATGGAGGGAGTTCCCATAGTGCCGCTCGATATAATCACCATCTTGCGGGCACGGATGCTCCGGACCGAGGTATCGTTCTGGAATTTAGGATTGGGTCGGTACTCAACCCCAATAGCATTTCTGTTGTCATCGATAATAACTCGTATGACCTGAGACTCCACCAGGACATTTAGATTCGGATGCTTGCCGTCTTGAAGTCGAGGATGCAGATATGCATGGGCAGAATCCTGGCGTTTACCATCTGGTGAAATGAAACGTGCAGCCCGTTGGGTACCGTTGATGGAATCCAGGTTTTGAAAGTCTTCAATCTCAGGCCAGCCAATCTTTGCAGCAGCCTCGATGAAATTATTCTCGGATGTAATAGCACGGTATGTGCCGCCTGAGATCTGTACTGGTCCATCTTCTCCGTGAGTATCTTTAGAGCCGGGACCGTGATACGTCTCGAGCTATGAAGCCCATCAGCTAAGATTTACAACAACTATACTATGTTGTTAGATACCTTCTTTAGATACGGTATCATCTCATCTGCAGACCAGCCAGGCATATTCCAAGAGTCAAAGTCTGATCGCTGCGCCCGGCTGTACATCATAAAATTTATAGATGAGCCACCGCCGAGGATGCCGCCGGCTGGCACAACCAGTTGCCTGTTACCTACCTTTTCCTCTTTGCCGGCCTGGTAAAATAATGTTGCCGTGCTAGTAGGCGCCAAATTGCCCATGAAGAGAATCGGGTGGATGATCGTGGGCACATTATAGTTATTCTGTCCACTTTCGATCACCAAAACCGACAGGTCACGGTCAGCATCGCTAAGCCTCGAAGCAACAATGCAACCAGCGGTTCCTCCTGTGAGCGGTTAGTTTATAGATGACTTTTATGCCCTCAGGCTACCAAGGATAATATTAGCCATGCCTCCTACGACGATAACGTCGACCTCCTCCAACTCAGGGGTAAGCTGGTTAAGAATACCCATTGTAGCTCTTATCAAAATGTTTTATATTGATACAAACTTAATAAAGTTCAGGAGGTCAACATATGGTAGATATCATGTCTATTAAATACGATGTAAGAGATAGAAATGGGGTTACACATACGAAGTGACATACAAAGGATAAGCCCTAGTAGTGCAGATCCTTGCCAATATCTCGGGTATTGCTATTCTGGATACATCAGCCTTACCTATACTCAAATACGCCTCGAATAAGTTGCCTGCCGCCAGCTATGCGCCAACGGGGCGTACAGTAGCTTGGCACGTGTCTCCAGGGTTAATCATTAGAATGACTATAATAAAGCCGTAACATAACATGTATAAATAATACGATTGGTCTAGATCTAATATAAAACCGAATATCTTTAATCTACCAAAGCCGTCATTGTAGACCCTGAGAGACTTTACTATTGGATATGGTACGCATATGACTCTCCACAACTTACACCGCAACACTAAATTATAGAACAAGAGCGGCCACATATACCCGGTCGTATCCCTAACGAATTATTCAATCGAAGGCCCGGTTAACATATGGTTGGTTATACGTCTAGTTACGTAACAAGTCCATTTTCCCTTAAATTTTGGCTTAGTTGAGTGGGTAGTATATGCACGCATACTAACTACTAAACTGATATCAATATGTCAACACTAGCGTCGGTCTCATCAGATAGGTATTATATGTCTTAAAGCCTCAGTCGTTTCTTTATCATATTGGAGAAGTTAACAATGCTCGCGATTTAGTTCCAACCTCCTTTTCCATAAGACCACACAAGACTACAATGTTAATCCATTACGTACACTATAAGGCTTCGTGTGTGACGACTACATGTAACGTCGACAGCAATAGACTCGATACAAAAGTAGACAAAGGGTCATTTAGCTTTTAAGGTGGCTTACGTAGTATCTAGTCTCTATAAGGGTTGACTGATTGTATTCAACATGAACAAGATTATATCTTAAAAACCACAAGAAATGCGAAAGATCCTACCCCTCTAAGCTAGTAAACGGTACTTCTTATTTAACAACGGCATGCAAAATATCCCATGTTTATAGTATAGTTCTATCTAGACCACTTACAAAACCATCAAGTCACTCTTAGCATACACACTTATACACCGCAAGACATGAAACAGTTCAAAAGCAGGATATACCTGCCGTCTATTTCTTGTTATTATCTCATACACAGGCTAATCAGCCGCCCTTCCCGTCCCCCCTTTATTTTCTTTCCTCTAGAGACAAGGGCAAAGTAGGTTGGGTAGGTAAGTAGGTAGAATGTACAAGGGACAGGTGACAAAGTAAAAGGAAAGAAAAGGATATGCTTCCGTCTCTTATGTCCCCCCAGCTTACTCTACTCTCAAGCTCTGTAACCAAGCTTCGGTAGAAATAACCTAATTCCCGTTTGTTAGTATACCTATACACGAATTACTTGATAACATGTAGAAAACTTACCTCTAATGCCTGTTGCACCTCGAGCACCTTCCTAACTTCCGCTAACCAGTCTCGGCTCAACGTCTTGGCCCACCCTTGTAGACCGTTCATCTCGCGTGCTGCGGCATCCAGGTCGCCCTCCTCAAGAAGCGTCTGAGTTCGGGTGAGAATACTCTCAACATCGTCACCAGCTGCTAAGCCTTGCTTCTTGAAGAGGACCTTGCTCAATACCCAGCTTGATGCATGAGAAGCTACGCCTGCATCATCCGGTAGTAAACTAGCCTTCCTCACCTCAAGCGCAACGCGACGGAAGCGGTCGATCAGTTGAGAAGGTGTAGCAATGCCACGTTGATACGCTGACGGGTTGATCGAACCGATGGCTGCGTTGACCACTGAGTCATCCGTAGCGATCTCCTTCAGGGCGACTAGCTCCCGAACGAAAGGTCGTGGGTGCTCAGTGTCACTGAGACTGGCGCGCACAGCCTCGACAGCGACATGCAGCTGCTGGGTCTTGAGGTTCGTGTCGACAACATCGTTCCATCCAGTCGTGAGCTGCTCCAGTTCCCTGACAGCGTTATTTAATTGTTCTAGCTTGCCGAGTCTGCTATTTCGCTCTTCCTCGACACGGCTTTTGACTTCCCGCAAGAACTGGCGTTTTAGATCGACAGCCTGCTCGAGCAGCATGTTGTTAAGCTTCGCGTCATTGATCTGCTTTTCCCGCTCTATTTCTGTCTTGATTCTTGAGTCATATGCAGCCTGGATGCGTTGCATCTCTTCCTCAAACTCTGCCCTCCACTGTTTCTCTTGTGCATTCATAACCTTCTCAACACGGCTAACCAACTCGATGGCTGCACCCTCGAAGTCCTTAACTTTACTCGCCACTTGCGAGGCAGCATCTTTTTCAACCTGGGCCTTTAGCTCACGGATCTTGGAGCCCACCTTGTTGAGCTCGTTCTTAGCCTTTCCGATAGTGGACGCAAAGCGGTCATCGGCATTATCAGCGTTAACGACAGTGATGATATCGTTAAGCATCTTGACTAGGTCCTGGACTACAGGCTCGTCGGCGTCATTGACCTTTAGAGGGTCAATGGGAGCAGGAGGGGGGAATCGAGAAGGCTCGTCGACTTCGGGGGCTACGAAGCCGACGGTTTCCTTCTTCGGCGCTTCAGCTTTCTCTACGACCTTAGAAGCCACAGATGGAGTAGGCTCCGGAACTGCAGCCTTTGGCTCGGCGGGTTTTGCCGCAGGCTTCGCTTCGGCAGGGGCATTTTTCTTCTCAGGGTTTGAAGCGGCAGCATTTTTACTAGCAGTAATATCCCGCATGGCACTTGACTGTCTGCCTGCCGGTTCGCCGGCGTCTGCAACTCTCCAAGATGCGCCACTTTGCGGCGATATTTTAACTTGAGCCCCGGTATCTTTACCCCGGCCACCAATTGTCAGACCTCCGGGATATCTCTTCTTATAGTCGAGCTCTTCAAAGTAAAGCACGGCTTGTTCACCAAATGGTATATATTCGGTGAAAAAGTCGTGGAAGTTGTCGCTTATGCGTGAATACCATACTCCACCACCGAAGGTTATGGCTCCTAGGAGTATTAAAGTCACGACATAATTATACAATCGACGGAAGAATCCCTTCTTCTTTCTCACGGGCGCCGGCGGGGGCGGGGTAGGTTTAGGGCTGGCTTTTTCTATCAAAGATTCTGATACAGGCGGAGGTGGAGGGGGCGTCTGGGGAATTTCCTTAGAGTCGATTGTTGAAGAAGCAATCCTAGATTCAGTTTTCAGCGCGGGGGGGTCGCTCGACGCCGCAGTGGTGGTCTCAGAAGTAGGCAGTTTCGCAGGTGTAGGATCGTTTATTGAGGGTTTCTTATTATCGGCATAGTATCTCTGGTTTCAATTGATGTTAGCTTGGAGTATTATAAAGGTTATGTCGGCGTTATGCCATATTTGGTGACTTCATACCCTCCCAGCTGCACCAGCCGATCGTGCGATCGCGGGCTGCCATTGATGGCCGATAGCAGCAGCAACAGGCCTACTGCCTACGGCCCTGACAGATCGCAACGATATCCGCAACATGAGGGCATCGAGTGGGCCTTCAAAATGCGATTGCCGTTACTACGTTGTGACTAGGATTGTTGTGGTTGGCGAGGGATTATATGATGTAAAAACCTCGGGAAGCTTTTTTTAAGCTGCACGTCGTTTTCGAGGTAAGTTGAGTTGGGCATAGGACAATCCCGGCAAGCGCAAAGTACTCGGTCTAGTGGGACCTGGTATGTACATAGGTACCTAGGTACGATTTTTTAATATTAATATTATGTAATCATTAATTCCTTCCAGCATCACCACATGCAGCATTACAGCATCACACTCCCAAGTTTTACAAGAAACTATACATAGTACATACAAATTATAGGTATCTACGTCATATACAAATCACAGTACAAATATCTTATCAAAGTTGATATAGTAGTATATCTCATCTCGTCATGAAGAAATGTTACTCTATTGCATTATTCGTCGAGCTATATACGTAGTAGCCCGGCAACGTTCAGTCTCAGTCCTAAGTTCGTCTCAAACCACACGCATACGCATACGTACCTCTAGCTCATGACTGACTGCAATGCATCCAGCAGCCAAGCCTGTACCTTGAGAACTCGATTAACAAAAAATCCAGGTATTAAAAAAACGATGTATGCCCTCCTGCCAAGAAACTCCCAATGAAATATACACTTGAGTATCTCACGCCTGTCTTCATGCTTCTGAAATGCATCCAGTCTCTATTTAAAGTCGAGTCTGGATAGTAGTTTGACCTGAACAGTCCTGCAGAGCCTGATAGAGTGCCCTTGCTCGAGCTTTGCATGACATCAATAACATAATGCTTGAAAACCCAATCATAGTAGTGAACAGGTGGGCCAGTACCACATAGATCAGTAGGCTACGAGTGGATTTGCTGTTCCAGGTATCGATAGTATCCAGTAGCTCCAAGAACTGCCTCTAACATGCGCAAGGCCCTCCCGATTGTGTATTTGCACCTTCCGGAGCCAAGCTAACACCTCCCGGTCGCTGTCCAGGTCTGGTATGTCGGGGACCGACCTGGTCGAGCGGTAACTTCTTCGCGATGGCAGTAAATAGTTCCCGGACATTCTCCGCAGTTTTGGCTGAAGTTTCGAAGAACAATAATCCTGCCTCGTTTGCATACGCCTCAGCATCAGCAGTCGAGACAGCTCGCTTATCGGGTTGTTCGTTAACTAAATCTAGTTTGTTTCCGGCAAGGGCAATGATAATGTTCTCGTTCGCTTGTCTTTGCAATTCCTTTACCCAAGCCTTTGCCTTATCGAGGGATGCCTATATTTATTGTCAGTCCACCTAATCATTATTTCTTTGTTTCTAGGGGGCGTACAGATTGGGTGATATCATAGACAACGACGGCGCAGTTCGCATTACGGTAGTACATGGGCGCAAGGGACTTGTACCGCTCCTGGCCAGCAGTATCCCAGATCTCAAACTTAACGGTAGTGTTCTCATCTAAGGAAATGGTTTGTGTTAGGAAAGCAGCGCCGATGGTGGATTCGCGATACGAGTCGAATTGATCCTAGGTAGAAATTAGACAAATGCATTTTATAGAGCACATGAAGAAGCCATTTACCTTCACAAATCTCAAGACTATGGAGCTCTGTTTTTTTTTTTGGAAGAGTTAGCAAACGATGCTGCCTAAAATGGGCTTGCTGGTAAAATAATTAGGTACCTTTCCGACCGCAGATTCTCCTGTGTCCTAATTAGCATACGATGCTGCAAATATCGAAAGCCGTAATACATACCTAATAGTACTAACTTAAACTGCGCGAAGCGGCCGGTCACACCACCCCTAGCTGCGGGCCCTGGTCGAGAAGCCATGACAGACAGTGAACGGGATCTGAAGATATCTCGAGTCTTTCGGAAGAGATGGAAGTCGAAACGGACAGGGATTAAGGGGAGACAGAGTCGGCGATTGATAATGGAGACTTTATGGGGTCTGTCTTATCGGAAGGGAATTATTATCGTCAATCCTAACGGTATAGAATCGACAACGTAGTAACCGGGGGGTAATGGAAGACAGGTCGTAAAGTAGTAATCTGACTCTAAATGTTCATACGAGAAAGAAAAAGACGTTTGGGTATGAAATTAGTTTCGTAGATAAACGAGAGGTTGTTCGGAATAAGATGGGTTAAAGTGTAAAGTGTGTTGATTGATTACTGCCTTGACTACGTTGCGATGTTGAAGGAAGCTAAAGGTTGTTCAAGAGTCCATTGCGCTCTGAATGATGAGTGGCTGAGCAGGTGAGCGGCGGTGGAGCAACACGTCGTCAGGCTCGGGTAGTCGGTGCGTTGCAGGTGGCTACAGTGGAAAGCACATGCATCAAGTGAATGATATACGGTGAGCTGCCCCTTATCGTTTAGTTGGTTAAATAGCACGTGATTAACCTTACGGTAGTGATTTGTAGTGCTCTTTAACTACAATGATTCACTTATACGGTATTTCCTTAGGTGATTTAAAGTTACTATGTACAGATCCGTATGTAATACTAAGTTCGATAAGACAGGGGAAAGGGATCCTTATCAAATGTATATGGACCGTGCACATCCTGGAAATACATAGACCTTGTTACCCTTCTTGGCATCTAACATCTTGGCATCTTTGCGACCGGTCCAGCTGTCGAAATCCCCTTTCGGGAAATATAGATGTACACTATTTCATCAGCGGCAAACCCATAGGGATTAAAGAAAGCTGCGCAAACTTCGCTTCAACTACCAAAACGACGTGTTCTCACAGTCGTCTCACCCTCTTTACACACCTTGTTGTCCTTACATGTTGATTTCTCCCTCTATTCTTCCCATTCTGTTATAAGTGCGTGCTGAGCATCACCATCATACAGCTAGCCCATCATGACGCTCCCCTACCGGGACATTAATGTCCACGTCGCAGCAGACTCCTATACTTTTACATCACCCTCCTCCCCTAATGCCCCGGCTCTTATCGTTGACCGTCCTACGGGTGATGTGAGATTAAGCGAATCTTCTCACTTCCCTAGCAAGCGTGTATCTCGTGTTTCTAGTATACCTGGTATACTAGGCTTTCTTAGACTTAGACTTGGTATTTCTCCGATTAACTCCTTATGGATATATATATATATATACCTATCTATTCAAGACTAACACAGCGCAGACAAGTATGTTATCGTCATTACAAAGAGCCAGCCTATGGGCCGTCTTAAGGGCCACATGGTTTATAAGATTATCTCGACCGAGTTTCTCCCTATGCGCGAGCGACAGATCCGCGACCCAGATGAGGACCAGTTCCTATCGCTTCTCAAGACTTATATCATGAAGGGTCCTATGTACTTCTCCTATTCTCTCGACCTCACAAACAGTTTCCAGAGACAAGCTACCATGGACAACTCGAGCCCACTCTGGATGCGAGCCGACGATCGTTTCTTCTGGAATAGATTTGTGCAATCAGACCTCATCAACTATCGAAGAACCGGCAACCGATCGCAACCAGGACCCCAACCGGGTGCTGACCCTTATATCTTACCAGTTATATGGGGAACACTCGAGATCCGACCAACTACATTTAAGAACACCCCCCTGACTCTTGTCCTTATCACTCGTAAAGCAAGACACCGAGCCGGAACCAGATACTTCACCCGAGGTCTTGATGAAGAGGGACATGCCGCCAATTACAATGAAACCGAACAGATTGTCGTTTTAAATGACACAGGTCGAGGTCTGGGTGGATATGCTGGGAGCACCGATATGCAAAGCGGCAAATACCGTACTTCGGAAGGGGCAGAGACGCAGGTATTATCTTACGTGCAAACACGAGGCAGCGTGCCTGTATACTGGGCTGAAATAAATGCACTCAAATATACCCCTAAGCTTCAGGTCAGGGGTATCGAAACAGCCCTTCCAGCAGCTAAAAAGCACTTTGACGAGCAGATTCGGATTTATGGAGACAATTACTTAGTCAACCTAGTCAACCAGGGTGGGCGCGAAAAGCGAATAAAGGAAGCCTACGAACAGATGGTGCAGATGCTTGTTTCGTCGGCAGCAGACAAAGTCAAAGGTGACGCGATCACTGACGAGAAGTTCCACATTATCGAGCCCAGTTCCTCGAAACAGGAATACGATCGTCTACATTATGTCTACTTCGACTATCACCACGAGACCAAGGGCATGCAGATGCATAAGGCCATGTTACTCGTCGAGCAGCTTCAAGATGCTCTCATAAAGCAGCAGTACTTCCGCGGTGTAGATATGCCTGCTAATGGTGGTCTTGAAACTAGAAACTTCCAGACCAGCGTTGTTCGGACGAACTGCATGGACTCTCTCGACCGCACAAATGTTGTTCAGAGCATGCTAGCGCGATGGACACTAGACCGCATGTTTGTCGACCTTGGTCTGCTCCAGCGAGGCGAGACTTTCGCCACTGCAGACACAGCTTTTGAATTCCTCTTCCGAAACATTTGGGCTGATAACGCCGATACTGTGTCCAAATCGTATGCGGGCACTGGTGCTATGAAGACGGATATTACCCGTACAGGCAAGCGTACAAAGGCGGGTATCATGCAAGATGGCAACATTGCCGTTACGAGATTCTACCTAAACAATTTCCGAGACGGCCCCAGACAGGACGCCTTCGACCTCTTCCTAGGTGCCTACGAGCCTGCTGCCGCTAACATCGGCTCCTCGTTTATATTTGCGGACCGCAGACCTGTCCTCATCCAGAGCATCCCCTACATTCTCGCCTTCAGCATATTTTTCGTATTCGTAGGCCTCTTCACAAGGCGTCTTCCGGGCTCGACCGTGTGGACTATTAGGCTCTTCATCTTATTCTGGTTGTTGGTCGCCGCCTGGAGTTTCAACTTCGTTATTAATAACGGGATGCTCTACGTAAGTTCCTTTCCCCCTCTGCTTTGTCTTTTTAGTTCTATAAAAATATCTGTATCCCAAATATAGTACTGACAGAATACTACAGGTCAACTGGCCCAAGCTCAACCCGCGACCCTGGGCCACTGAGGGCTACCAGAACACCATCACCAAGATCCACAACGACGCGCTGCTCGGCCCGTTCGTAGCTCGACACGAGCGCGGATTAAGCACTGCGCGCTATCTCAACGCTGAAGAGGGAAAGAAGAGGATCGAGTAAACGGATAAAGGAGGATATGCCGAAGGGTCTTGTGTATTTTTACTTTATATTGTCCCTTCGACCCGGTTGGCCCATTCGACATTACGCTCTAGCATAATTGCATAATTTGTCTTCACCTTGTTGTTGTCTGCATGTCGTGTATTTACATATTCGTTTGGAGTTTGCATTTGGTAGTTTGTCATCCGAGGTGTCACTGTACAGGAAACAAAGCATTAATGGTAATATGGCCCAAGTCCCGATTCTATTATCTACCTACCTCCTAACTAGGTAGCTTGCCCCTATTTCACTCTCGCTGCTCAGGTATATCTGCATGACGTATTTCTCTTTAAGCCATGAGCTCCAAATACATATGTAATTCTAGATTAAGGAACGCAGCCATGAGCAGAAACTTAATATTATTATTACACAATCCTACAGCTAAAAAAACACCCGGTAATAGAAGTGCGTATATCGTACACGTGCGTACAACTGGTCTTCTGATCCCATTTTTTTCCCAATCCGCGCAATGCATAATTATTAGTAGTACTCCGAGCTCATGCCGACTCCATCCACACCACAAAACTGTGATTCTTCCTCTACGCACAACATAGGTAGTATACCTCTCTTCTCTTCTCTTCTTTCTCGCAGGCACACTCTGCCGTGCTCTGCTCTACTCTCTACTCCAAAGACTGAATAAACCACGCTAAAAGAAACGATAACACTGTAAGGAAACGTAGGTAGGTAGGTAGGTAGTACTGATAACAGTTGGACATGTATGTTTTACATGAGATACATAAAATAGACAAGTAAAAGTAAAAAATTCGCCCGTGTGGGCTAAGTCGGTAGTAGTGTAGTGTAATAAGTAGTAATAAAGAGTCATAAGAGAAAAGGGAGTTAGACAGAAAAGAAAAGGAAAAAAACGCAACACAACCACAAAAGGGGGTATCATCACCAAAAGATCATCGTCCAAACAAATCCTTCTCTTATACTCGGTGCTCAACGCATCAAAACCCAAGAATAACGTGGTATCTCGCCGTCTGGATATTCTCTCTCTCGAGGCTATAGCCAGAGAAGCCACCTCACGACGCTCACGATACCCTTTCCTACACCTAGCACTATACGGGCCAGCATGACTACGAACCAGACGTACCACATGAACCCGACGAGCACCCATTCGACGGCGAGCCAACCTGCGCGGCGAGCCCACCGGAACCGACGTCTTCGGCGTCGCAGCATCTTGTCCATAGTGTCCGTCACACGCTTCGCCTTAAGTCGCTGCGCATCCACCAGGTCGCGGTTGACCTCGTCCGCTTCGTCCGCCGCACGTCGCGTCATCTCCATCAAGTCGCCGCCTACGCGGTCGTGTAAGACATCCACGCGCCGGTACAGCGCCGGTACGGTCTCACCCGCAAACCGCGCTCTGCTGGTCTCCGAGGCCTGGATCGAGCGGGCGATGCTCTCCGAGAGTATCTGCGCTGTAGCCGGGTATAGCTGCGCCTCCGACACAACGATGCTAGATGATTTGTCCGGTAGGAACTGGCGAATGCCTGTCCACGGTAACCCGACGGTCTTGTCGTCAAGCGTAGAAAGCATACATGGCTCGTGCGCACGCCGTGAAATTTCCATCGCCTTGATGCCGGAACACAGGATCAGCGCGCGGGTACGTGCGATCTCGCGCCTAGAAATATGTGTGCCTTGGGGTACTTGGCTACCGTTCGAGATTGACCAGT